GGATGGATGGATGGATGGATGGATGGATGGATGGATGGATGGATGGAGAAAGCATAGTTTCTGCAAATGACTGGCATTACCAATGATTAATCTATGGCCGCCAAGGCCACCATTGGCCACCGTTGGCCACCCCCTGGCTCCTCCTTTGCACTTGGTGGATAAAATGTCTCCCTCCACCCTCCAGGATCCATCACTCTGTGGTGCTTCGGATAAGAAAAATAAAACCATCCTCTGTTCTTGTACATAACGTGACTCCTTCCCACCTGAATATATTGCACCAAAAACATTCAGGTTTATTTACATTCCCTGTTTAGTTCCAGTCCAGGGAAACACTCATCTCAAAAACTATAAACATCCACTATTCAATATTTTCAGCAAAGGGGGATATTGGGATATCGCTTGAAATTATTGAGAGTGAGGTTTTCCATTTCCCACTTTATTTTCCTGTACCTAAATATTTTAGTCTTATCCCTCTATTATTGTTTTGTGGCGTTTGATCCAGTGATAATTTTATTCAGAAAAACTAATTAAGCATGATGTTTTGGCAGCGCAACATTAATCACTCTGTGTTTTCCAGAACGTCTGCAGCACTCTGTGGTGCACTGTGGGAGCAACCTGCCACTCAAAGCTGGATGGAGCTGTGGATGGGACCAGCTGTGGGGAGAACAAGGTACATTTTCTGTTTCAGGACTGAAGAAGGGATTTTGACTCTTTTGTTGTTGAATAATAGCACTCTTATAGCTGCAGGGAGTTTTCTTAGTTCAAAGGAAATCCGGTGTGTTTTGCAGAGCTGAAAGTTATTAAATGGAGATTTTAAGAATCAGGTTTTTTTTTTTAACAATAGCAGAAAATGATCAAACATCTAGAACATATTGGTTGGACTGGTACTTAACCTACAGTATAGGAATTTTAAAAAGTTTGTCTCGTTAAATATACACGTAATGATTTATTGGGGACTGTCTAGTAAGGCAGGCACCTATTATTATCCACCTAACAAGGGTTTCCTAACTTTATATCTTACTCATCCGTCAACTTTAATGTGGCCCGAACCACAACGTGTACCCCCACAAATGTTATATCAAAGCGACCGGCTCGACACCGTGATGTGTGCTATTACTTTTATTGGCATTTCGAGTTACCATGGTGATGTAATTTGCTAACAAAGAAGCCATTTTTCTCATTGAAAATGCCTGACAGAACTCAACAGCTACTAACGGCTATAACGCAGTCATTCTTTGAGATATCGAGCTGAAATTTGCTCTGGTCGTAGCTGAGAGCGAGTTCTCATACATTCCTAATGCAAATCAAAAATCCAAGATGGTCGCCTGAGCTAAAAAGGAAAAATGCTATAAATCAGTTAATTGTAGAGATATTGAGCTGAGATTTTGTGTGGTGATAGCTGAGGATGTTTCCCATCACATACTGAATCCAAATAAAAAATCCAAGATGGCCACCATAGCTTAAAAAAAAATGACTATAGCTCATTTATTTATTTATTTATTTTTGGCCATATAGAGCTGATAATTTGTATAGTGGTAGCTGAGAGCGAACCAGAACACATAGTACTGTGAAATCAACTATTTAAATTGACAGCAGCATGGCAGTCCCCGTCAAAGTTTCTCCAGGAACGTTCTAGTTTATTTATTTTATTTGTTCTCTATGTAAGTTGTGTTATTAAGAATATGTGACCTATTAGTGCTTCAGTGACTTTTTGTCTCTAGATTACTCCTCAGGATTATTTTTAAAGTAAAATATCAAATAAAACTGCACTTTGTTGGAACTTTAAGGGTGCTGCTGTAGCTCGGTGGTCAGTGCTGTGGTCTTCCAGGATAATCCAGAATAAAACAATTACCCAACTTTCATGTGAGTTTACTCACTGTGGAAACCCCTCAAGAAGGGAGCATTAAAAACATTAAAACTGAATTCTCAATCAGCATCTTATTTAAAATTGGCAGAAAATAATTGTGCAACCAATTCTTTGATCCTGTAAATAGACCGATCTGTGCACAGAAACCAAAGAAAATAAAACAACGAGCTCAGTTTTATCACTGGCTGCAATAAGTTTAATTTTTACAAAGAACAATAACAGTTTAGTCTGTGTCAAGAAAAAACAGCAGAATCAGGTTTACATTTTATTTTTCACTGAGGTTGTTGTTGTTTTAATCTGCTCGTCATAACCATCAATCATTACAACTTGAGTTGTTTACTAACCAGACTGGGGTGTAGTGTTTCACCATGATTTATTAATTTTAAACTCCATACTGTCAGCTGACAGTCTCAGACACAACACACGTTCTTTTAATGTCACGCCCTTCACTGTAATTCATACACGAACTGTCCTGTCCTGATGAGGCCATGTCACCCATCATCCTCTGATGTCTCTGATTGAATATGACATCTTCTCCACCTTCTCGTCTGCTTTTTTTTTTCTCTATGAAAGAGATGAAACTCTTTTCACTCCACTTGTCTTCATTTATGTCCAGGTCATGCACCAACCGACCAGTATAGGATTCACTCTCGCACTGCACAACAACAACGTTGTAACATTTTTCCACTAAAAATGTATTGGGCAGCCCCACGCCCAGACATTATACCTTGAACCCTGGGAGGGCTGGGGGTGGAGGTTGAACCCCACATTTTGAGCCCCCGCAGTAGGGTAACGTAAAGATGTTCTAACCCGACACATATATTGTCAGAATAAACACCAGTAAAGTCATGAAACTAATAACACCCCATCATTTCACCCATCTGTCAGTGAGTCATCCCATTTTCTGAGCATCTTGTATTTTATTGTGTGAATGTTCAGGAAGCATTCAGACTATAGTGATCCATTTTTCTTCTGTTCGTTTTTCAGCATCTTTCTTGTTCCACATTTTTTGTGCCATTTCATCAAACCATATATCAAAACGTTAATCTCTTTAAAGACAATTCTGCTATGACTTTTGGTATTGGTGCAACTTTAGCCTATTTTCAAAAAGCTAAAAAAGCATTTTTTCCTCACAGAAAATGAATTGAGCTCATTTTACATCCTTCAAATCTTTACACCTGTTTACAACCTGTTACTGCTCCTTGCACATTTTATTCTAGTTCAGCTTCTTTCAGCTTCCTTTTGCTAATTTAATTTTTTTCAGCTACTTTCAGCTAATCTTAGCTGTTTTTTCAGCTGTTTTGTGCTCCTTTCAGATTCTTTGTGCTAACAGCAACATTTTGTGCTTCTTCTAACTTCTTTCTGCTAATTTCAGCTTTTTATGCTCCTTTCAGCTTATTTATGCAAGTTTCAGCATTTTCTGCTATTTCAGCTATTATTTAGCTGTTTTATGCTAATTTGAGCTTTTTCAGTTAATTCCACATTTTTTGCACTCTTGTCAACATTTTTCATCCTAATTCAGCAGAAATGTGCTCTTTCCACTTCCTTCTGGTAGTTTAAGTTTGTTTCTGCTTTTTTTTTTTAGCTCTTTTCAGCAGGTTTTTTTTTTTTTTTCCTAATTTTGGCTTTTTCCAGATAATTTCTACTTTTTATGCTAATTTCTGCTTCTTTCTGCATAATATGGAAAAATGATGTTCTCTCCACTTCCTGCTGCTAATTTAAGCTTGTTCTGTCTTTTCAGCTAACTTGTTAGCATTTCTTAGCTAATTTCAGCTGTTCTCAGATAAATTCAAGTTTTGGGGTAATGTGTGTGACTTTCAGCCTAATTACGAAAACTTCTTTCTACTAATTTTAGCTTGTTATACTCGTTTCTGCTATTTCAGCTAATATTTAGCTGTTCAGTGCTAAATTTAGTTTTTTCAGCTGATTCCACATTTTTTTAGCTAATTTCAGCTCCATCCACTTCCTTCTGGTAGTTCTAGTAGTTTCTGCCTTTTCAGACACTTTTCAGCTATTTTTAGCTCATTTCAGCTTTTTAGCTAATTTCCTAATATTGTTCTAATTTCTGCTAATTTAAACTTACTTCAGCAAATGTATGTTCTTCCGCTAACTTGGGCTTGTTCTTCAATTTCAGCTACAGTTCAGCATGTTTTTCGCTAATTTCAGCTGTTTTCAGCAAGTTCTTCAGCAATAAGCATTCACATTGAATTTTTGCAGGAAATGCAATTTTTCTAGTTTTTATTGGTGCCAGTAAAGCTGAACTAAGTTCTTTTAGGTATTTTATCCTGCTCTCTTGTCGCTCCTAATGGAAGCAGACAAGCTCATTGGTCTTCAGAAGAAATCCATGCCAGTTCAGAGACAGTGGATTTGAATAAAAAGTTCAGTGTTTCATGCCAATGCTGTTGCACTCATTTCCTGAGGAGTCGCAGCATTCAGAGACTGCAGCGTAAACGTTGGTGTCTTTTTGCAGTGGTGTATCAGCGGAGACTGTGTACCGGTGGGATTTCACCCTGAGAGTGTGGACGGTGGCTGGGCTTCATGGAGCGAGTGGTCAGCCTGTTCCAGGACTTGTGGAGCTGGTGTCCAGACTGCTAGAAGAGACTGTGATAACCCGACGTAAGTCTGGAGGATTTTATTTATACACGGAGAACAACAGTTAGAATTGGAGAAAACCACAGAGTAAATGTAGCTTTGAATTTGTTTATAACTATCCTTAAACAAACAGAAAAACTTTTTTCTTTTGTCGAGTTACATTTCACTCAAATAGCCATGATGTGAATTCATATACACAAGATTATTCTTTAAGTTTTCAACAAAACATTTTTTAGAGACAATTTTGTCCTCTTTTGACCTTTTGTTTATTATGTAAAAATTGGATAAAGTTTTAACAAAATTAATTTGACTTTATTTCCGACGTGTTTCTCATTAGTTATGCCGTGTATAACACAAACATGTAAAGGATAACTATTATTGTTTTTATGTATTTATTCCCATTGTAAATATATATCCGCCCTAGATATGGAGTTGATTTATTGTATAGTTTAGGTTAAAAATAATTTATGTTGTCATTTTTTGTAATATAAAAAGTCACAAAAAATAAACAGGAAATAAAGAGATTTAAAACTGAGGGCTTTTAAAAAATATTTTTTACGTATCAGATTTTATACAAGCCCTTTTAAAATTTAAATCTTAATTACATTCTCCTACTAAAAATATATGCTAAAATAAAAAGGTATAATTTTGTTTAAATGTTTTAAATTATTTCCATGTCTGTCATTACTTCACATGTTCACAGACTTTAGGTTTGACAACATTAGATAGTTCTGCTCAGCTCCTCGTGTTTCTATATATCATTTTACAATGCACAGTTTTAGATTTAGCAGCAAAAAATACAGACAAAAGTTCGTTTCCAGATTCAAAACAACAGGAAGAGTGATGTAATTCATCGCAGCTTAAGCACAAACAGGAAAAGAAGTTTAGTTATTCTAAAGTATAAGTACCATATTTTTTGGACTATAGGGCACACTTAAAATCATTTTATTTTCTCACTGAACTCACATGTGCACTGATTTAATAATTTAACCTCCCAAACCCCTGGGCTTCTATTGTGCAATACTGACATTTCATACTCTTAATCACCTTACTTCTTAATTACCTCACTAATATCCAATGATGTGCAATATTCAAATTTACATAATTGTGAAATAACTTTTTTTTTTAACTTTCATAGTGCTATTATATCTATATTGCATTATATTTTATATTTTTAGGTGTGTGGGTTTTTTTTTTCTTAAGCATGGTTTGCACTGAAATAAGGAGTGGCTCTCAATCTCATTATACTTGCGTATAACAACAATAAAGGCATTCTGATTCTGAAAAATCAACAGTGAGCCTTATGTATTAATTCTGGTTGTGCTTACTGACCTCGAACCGATTTTGTGTGGTACTCAAAAATATGTCATAATGTTTTAGTTTTGCTTAATGCTCCTGATGATCTGGTGCACCTTATAGTCTGAAAAATACAGTAGGTGATGCTCACTGTAGCAGAACCCATAAAAACAAAGAGTGAAATGATCAGTTCCTCACGCACTGAATCGGTGAACATTTGAAATAAAATTTTAAAATGTAAGAGACAGGATGGTGACGCTCTCAGTAATGAAAGTTGACAGCAGCTGTAAGTTACCATCTTGGCAGATGACACGCAACAGTTCTTGTGTACTGTTAAGTGCCGGGCGTCTTTAAAATCTTTCTGTTATTGCCTGTCGGCATGCGTTCTAACAGTGTTGCAGCACATTACGATGATGCATCCTAGCGGTTTGGCAGACAAGATGAGACGTGCGAGTTGGTTTACAGGCTCACTGCTCCTCCTTCAGCTGCTTTAAACAGCTGTAACTCAAACCTAATTGCGATCACTGACTCGAAGGCTCAGTTCTCATTAGAGGCCTCAGTTGTGGCTGAGTGATTCTTGTTAACTCATCTCAACATTTTTCAGCTTTTCAACCCTTAAAACCATAAGAAGTCTCAGCTGAACCGCAGCACGGTCACAGAAGAACAACTTGGACATAATTTAGAACGAGTTGGAGCTCTTCACAAGAAACAGCTGCTCAGACACAATCGGCTTCTCTTACTCGTTTTTTTCCATCCTTCCAGCGTCTCTACATTTTTTGTACACTAAGATCCAATTACGCTCAGTGGATTCCAACCAAATTCATCTCAACCCAGTACTTCCCAATTCCTTTTTGTTTTCATACTTTAAACCATTCCCTCATCCCTGCCACTGCCCATCCAACCATAGACTTGCCTATTGTTAATCAATAATGACTCAGAAAGACACTGTATCCATTTTTTGGATTCCTCTAGCCTTAAAAGTTACTCATTAAGTTTTTTTTTTTTTTTCTTCTTCTTCTTCTTTCGGCTGCTCCCTGCGTTAGGGGTCGTCACAGTGAACTAAGTCACACGAAGATTTGGCAGTTATTTTTACGCCGGATGTCCTTCCTGACACAACCACAGACACCGAGCTACCACAGCCCTCTGTGTGGAGCAGAGAGCTGCCATCTAGGCCACCCGGCAGAGCAGATGGTGAAGGTGAAGGGCCTTGCTCAAGGGCCAAGAGTGGGACGAATGAGGGTGGGGGCAGATGTGGGTTTTTCACCTACACCACCCACATTTTTGATGTTGTCGGTACCGGGGCTTGAACCGGCGATCTTCCGATCACAGGCCCACCTTCTCTAACCTCTGCACCACCACTCCCTGAAAGTTGAAGTAATTTTCAGTATGATTTGCTTAAATTTTGTTTCAAGCTGTTAAACTTATTTGTCTCATTTTTGTACCTTTCAGACTTTATTTATGTGTCTCTGTAACATTGTGTCTGTAAAAATGTTTCCACTTAAGGGCCCAGCATGCTCCATCGGAAGCCGAACAGTGGACTCGCGGTCACTTGGTTGTGGGACATTCGTTTTCGTACACACCTTTCATAGTCCACAAGACTCACGGTGTAGAGCTCCTGGGAAACCCCTCATACGTTACCGCACAGGTTTCTTCCCACCAGGATCTCCATCCCTGCAACTGTCGTTTGGCCACAAATATATCATGTAGAAAGCACCACACTTTTCAGCAGACGGACTCCTCCATAGACGATGTCTGCACAATCTCCATCCAGGAGTTTTTGGCCGTTTGACTAATTTAGTGTTTTATTTGAGTCGTACAGCTGAGCACATTTCTGCATTGACATACATGCTCACAATCTTCTGACCAATCACACCATACAAAGATGAAATTGGCTCTCTGCATTTAACCCATCGCATCTGGGATATACCCAGGTGGAGCAGTGGGCAGCTATGTAAGCGCCCGGGGAGCAATTTGGGATTAGGTGTCCTGCTCAAAGACACCACGAGATGTGCAATGACCGGGGATCGAACCTAGGACCTTTGGGTTCCGAGTCGGCTGCCCTGCCCCTACACCATCTCGGCCCTAAGCTGCTTTGTAATCAAAATGACACAATTTTTGCCACGGAACTACGACGAGAGCTGGTTTCGTCACTTTGGATGGAATATGTTGGAATATGTTGATGATTATTATCATCATGCTGCTAACGGGACCTGCTAACAAAACCTGCTAACACTGCTAATGGGATCCTCCATCTGCCTGCATGGACCGAACTCTATGGACCCGTTAGGTTCCTCTGGGAAATCTTGGACGTTCTCTGTCTGCCAGATTCAGTTCTGTAGGGTAGTCTAGGAGGGAAGTTGCTGTGGTCCTTATTATCATCATGCTGCTGACAGGACCTGCTAACGCTGCTAACAAGACCACGCCGCTAACCGAACCACGCCACTAACAGTACCAAGGTGCCAACGGGACCATGTTGCTAAGATATCCTGACTGCCACAGAACCACTCTGCCAATATGACCATGCTGCTGTAGATGCATTTCTTTTTCACTTTTGTCACTTTGTTTTTGTATTTTTGTTACATGCTTTGGTATTTGTTGTTGCTGGGGAGGTGTTGGCAAGCCGAAATGGTTCTTCTCATCCTGAGCATTTCATTGCACTGTTGACCTTGTGTTGATTTTGCATATGCATAAACCTAACCTGAAGCTGAACCTTAAATCAATCAGAATTTTAAATCCAAAAGCATAATAGAAATAACTTTGACTACCCTACAGGCCAAAACACAGAGGGAAATATTGTTTGGGAGAGCGACAAAAGCACCGTATCTGTAACACCACGCCATGTCCTCATGGTGAGCCCAGCTTCAGGAACGTCCAGTGCAGTCACTTCAACAGCTTGCCGTACAAAGACAAGTTCTACAAATGGGAGGCAGTCATCAGCAAAGGTCAGCTCATTCTGCCTTTTTATGTTCCTGCTCTTCTGTCATCAGCTTCATGTGTTCGTTTTTATTTATTTATTCTTTCCTGGTTTTGAACAGTTAATCCTTGTGAGTTGCACTGCCGTCCACTCAATGAGCAATTTTCTGAGAAGATGCGAGACGCTGTTGTTGATGGGACGCCGTGTTACGAAGGCAACAAAAGCAGAAATATGTGCATCAACGGAATTTGTCAGGTAAAAATACGGCTTACAAATAACACCTCCTTCAATCTGTATTTTTTTATATATTTTCTCCTTATTTCTTTTGTTTCTTTTGAGTCCATGTTCCATTTCTCTGTTTCATGATTTTTTTCTAAACTGTATTTTCCTTTCATTTTATTTTATTTTATTTTATTTTATTGTTTGTTTTAATCAAACTTTTCACATCTCCTTTTTGTTTCACACATTTTTTGAGTCCTTCATCACCTGTTTGCATCATTTCTCTCTGTGTAAATATATTTTTTAAGCCAGATTTTCTCCTCCTCCTTCTTGTGCTTGGCTTCTTTCTGTTCTGAGTGTTCTCCTTGTCACCTTGTCTTTAATAATCCCCTCTTACCTGACTGTGTGGGTTGTGGAGTTGTTTGTGAATTTCTGCTTTGCTTTGTCCTGTTTGGCCTCCAGTCTTACAGCCTCCCAGCGTTAGTCTCACAGTTCCAAACGTTACCCCTCACCTTGTTTTCTCTGCGTGTTTCACATTTGACATTCTCTGTGACAATGAGCACGTTGATAGAAAATTGTTGCGGCCGTTATCATTAAAGATAAGCAAAAGCATAAGCAGAATGCTATCACCTTGGGCTAAAATGTCATCTGCTGATAGACCCTGAGTGAATGCTGAGGGGACACCAGTCAGACACTGGACTCTGGCTTTCTGACATTTTGTGACATTTTGTGTCCGTCCGCTTCATGGTTCTTGCTGTACTTGCACAGCTGGGTTTACTCAAAAGTTCTTTAACGTGAAAAAACAATTCTGCGAGGTTTGTTTCTCTCAAGTAGTTTAACTCATGTTTGATATGTTTAACTACATATCTACTCAAATGCTGCTTTTTGTCCTCCTTTTTTCTATTTAAACCTTCACGTCCACTGCTTTTCAGAAACTTTATTGTGTTCAGTGCACAGCTGACTTGATAAGTTTGGTCAGTTTCTTCACAGATTCAATATAATTATTGTGTCATCACATATTCAGATAAGATTTTATTGAGCTCCTTGGGAAATGTGTAAGACACCCAGCAGTGCAGCATAAACAATATTACATCAGTAATTCTGTTTTTATTGAGTCATATGCATAATGCTTTATTACAGGATCTGTTATCTTGCATCTTGTTAAAAAGAGTCATAAAATATTGACGTTACCTTCAGACAAAGTTAAAAGTAGGCACCACTCTTACTTTTTGATTAGTTTGAGTCGAGAGCCACATCGAGTTTTGGAATAAATCTTTTCTCTCATTTATTAAACCTCCTCTGAAACAGTTTGAACTGTCCCTCCTATAAATGTCAGCCTAATGTTTGTAATGATGATGTGGAAACATTTGTGATGTGTGTGTTACAGAATATAGGCTGTGATTATATGATTAACTCCAACTCTGTGGAGGATCGCTGCGGAGTCTGTAATGGCAACAACTCCACCTGTAAAACTGTCAGAAGAACGTTTCAGGAGAGTGAAGGCATCGGTACGTTCTTCTTCTTGTTCTTTTTCTTCTTGTTGTTGCTCTTCTTGTTGTTCTTTTTGTTGTTCTTCTTTTGTTCTTCTTGTTGTTCTTTTTCTTCTTGTTATTTTTGTTCTTGTTCTTTTTCTTGTTGTTTTTTGTTCTTCCTGTTCTTCTTGTTCTTCCTCTGGTTGTTTTTCTTGTTCTTCTTGTTCTTCCTCTGGTTGTTTTTCTTGTTCTTGTGGCTCTGTGGAAGTGCAACATCAAGGCCAGACTAGCGTTGGAGTTTTGCTTCCACAGAGACACTGGAAACCTGAAGAATTTTGTGAAACTGTGGGGATTTAAGGTTTTATGCATCATTTCTGATCGGGGGAACTACAATATAGTACAACAAGCTCCTCATGTAAATATTTTATTTTAAGCTTGTCCTGATCACCTTTTTTTAACACTGTTGTGGTAACTTGTGTAAATAATGTTTTGTTAAAAATCAAAATCTTCGTCATCTTCTTTTTCTTCTTCATCCTCCTCTTCTTTCCAGCGTTACCTTACCTCTTCAGTGAGTCATCCTCCTCCATCTCACTGTCCTTTGTCCTCACTCTGTTTCATTTTACATTTCATTATTCATCAGGCTTTTTAATATTGTATTTGATCAAAAAAAAAAAAGAAGATTTCACATTAACAAGTCAAACATCACAGCTGATTAAAATAACTAGAAGCAGCATCTTAGACAATTAAAACAAAACAACAATTTTTTTCTTCCTTTTAGAGCGTTCTCATGATTGATGATACTGTTTGATTCGTTTATCTGTAAATATGTTTAGGATATGTTGACATTGGGCTGATTCCTGAGGGAGCCTGGGACATCCTGATTGAAGAAGTGGCAGAAGCTGGGAATTTCTTGGCGCTGCGAAGTGATAACCCCAGCAAGTATTTTCTGAACGGAGGCTGGACGATTCAGTGGAACGGAGAGTATAAAGCAGCTGGAACAGTGTTCACCTATGAGAGGACAGGACAGCTGGAAAACCTGACATCTCCCGGCCCCACAGTGGAGACTCTGTGGATTCAGGTAGACTTTTTTCTGTAAAGGCTAGAACAGGTTTCATTTTCAAAAAGGTGCATGTCTGTGAGTAATAGTGCACCAGCGACAGAGGCACGCAAACATTTTCAGCAAAACTTCTAATTCAATGAAAGTCAAACAGTTAAGTTATGTCTATCTTTAGATACAAGTGTAAGTACCTTTATGCAAAAGGTTTTAATTTATGTAGCAGCTCATTTGAGGTATTGTCTAAGAGGTTTCAGTCCAGGTGTTGTGGGGAGGATGCAGTAACACCTTGTATGGATTTTTGGTGAATGTTGGTTCCTTCTATTTAAACGCTGTAGAAGTTGTCTTCTTTTCATCTTCAGTTTCAGATGGAAGGAAGTGGTTTTCCTGAACCCACTCAAATTTAGGTTAATTACTTCCTGCCCTCTGGCAATGTGGTGTTTACTGTTCTAGTAGCTGCAGCACAAGCTTGTTACTTGGTTGTAAAAAGGCTTCATGCTGCTGTGTGATAATTTAGAGATGCATTCATTATTTCTGAAAAAAAAAAAATCACTTTTGGATTCATACTTTTTTCAAACATTGTTTTGCTCATGTATTTGAAAAAACAATCTTTTAACTGCATCATTTTGTAGGTTTTGTTAACTGAGCTGATTCTTGTTCTTCGTTGTACTCTATATTTTTTTAGTGCAGTACATGCAGTAATAGTGTAGTAACAGTTCACCATCACTTCAAACTCAACTCCTCAAAGCTCCTCCTGAACCCCCTCTGCTGCCAAGAAGACATTTTAATCAGTCTGTCTTGCCTTTCTACAAGTAGTTCTTTCTGGATGTTTTTTTTCCTATTCTTCTCTGGATCCTAACTTGACCTCCATTTTTTATATTAAATATAATTTCATCATTAGAAGTTAAGAAAAAGTTTTCCTGAAACTGCTTAGGGAGGTTGTTTTAGGCCATAGAGTGGTGATGTTGAGACACAAACAAGCCAAAGTTAAAGTTTTGAGGTCTTTGTAAAAGTTTAGCAAAGAATAATTGATTAGATGTGTATTTATACTTCTACTAGAAAACAAAATATAGTAAAAGTATTTTAAATTTATGAGAGGATAATAAATCCATAACATCCATCCATTGCTTTATATCTGCTTCTTCCTTTCTGGTCTCACAGGGTCCACTGGTGCCCATGTCCAGCAGTCACTGTGTGAGAGGTGGTGGACACCCTGGACAGGTCTCCAGTCCATCACGGAGACACAGAGACAAACGAGACAAACAACCATTCACTCTCTCACTCACATCTAGGGACAATTTAGAGTTATCAATCAGCCTAACATGCATGTTTTTGGTCTGTGGGAGAAAACCGGAGTACCCGGAGAAAACCCACACAGCACGGAGAGAACATGCAAACTCCACCTAGAAAGATCCCCAGCCAGGAATTGATCCGTCGACCTTCTCGTTGAGAGGAGGCTCTACTAACTGAGCCACCTTACCGCCCTAAACCGATAACATGTCGAAACAAAATCCCAAGACATTGTTTGTTCTGCAAGCCCAAGTTGTTTTAACTGAAATTAAAATGACAGCTACACTGTGTGAGCAAGAGGTGGAGAGAAAGAGATAAATGAAGGTAATACTTGTACTCATAAAATCAGGAGGAAAAAAATAGGTAGAGCTATTTTCACTTCTGCATCAGGATCCTGTAAGCACACTTTGTGCTAGGTGTTTTCAATGAAAAGAACATGCATTTAAATTGTTCATCCAGCTCATACCACAGTAAAAAAAAATACGCTTGCCACTTTTGTAGTATGTGTTGAGTTTGAGTACATCGTGTACATGTGCAAAATGAGTATCTAATTTTTGAGGCACATTCTCTGTTCTTATTGCACACCATTAAAATGCAGGCATTCTTGTATTTGTTTGTGTGCGTGTGTATATGTCTGTCACATTAGCAAAATATCTAATTAATGACTGGACAGATTTTCATCAAACTTTCAGAAAGTAATATTTTTTTCTCATTTCATATCACAAGATGGTTGCCACAGTCAATAAACCTTAAAAAAACATGAACAATTTGCTACAGTTCAGACAACTTGCGACCTGAACTGGCTAAATGAATCAGAATGAGAGGCTCCGGTGCAAAAGGAGTGAAAACATTGATATTTTCGTAAATGGGATTTGCATAAAATTTAGTCCAAAGGAGATAATCTTTCAATACCATTAAGTAAAACAGCATATAATTTCCATAGTCAACCTTTTTTAAGTTTTTTAATTCTTAAAGGTGAGTCTTCAGAAATATTCCTTTTAATTCTAATCTGTTTAATTTCCTTTGAAAGTGACCATTTTTCTCTGCTGGTTGCCATAGCTCCGGTACATTCTTTGGAATAATGTTTGGTGTCATCGTGAAGCTTAGAGACTCCACTTATTAAATATAAAGCTGTAATTCCTGGCATCACTCCAGTCAAAAAATAATAATAATCATCAAGTTTTCAAACCAGAGCTCTGAAACAAAACTGTCTTGTTGCCATGACAGGTGATAAATCACCAAAATTCATCAATCTGTGTATATATACTTTGTATATATATATATATATATATATATTTTTTTTCGATGGATAATTTGAAAACAATAATTAGTCAATGAAAACAATCCTCATTTTCACATATTTTGCCAGCACAAATCACATTTTGCAGATACTGAGCTAATTTTGATGTTAGTTTTAGATGTGATTTGTGACAAAAGAATTTCAGCAAAGGCTAAACAGAAAGTTTACAAGACAGCAGTGAGAGCAGCTATGTTGGCTGGTCTGGAGACAGTGGCATTGACAAAAACACAAAAGAAAGAACTGGAAGTGGCAGAAATGAAGATGTTGACGTTCTCCTAAGTAGTGACAAGGATGGAGAAGATTTGGAATGAGATCATCAGATAATCTCCAAATCTTTTCTGGTCTGGTCATCACTGGCTGACGGCACCGATTCTGTACCTCCCAGTGGTGGAGGGAGGACAAGGGCTTGAGGATACAGAACAGCATCCTTCAGAATACAAACAGCACAGAGACTCCTGTATAGCTGCTGTTATCTTTGGATAGGTCTGGCACAACTGCTAATGAGAAAGGTTGGCTGACTTGGACTAGATAAATAGCTTTTCTTAATGGAATCATCTCGAATGGACCTAACACGACTTACAACCTTCTATTGGTCAGTGCTCAGTGCCTGACAGACGCTGAAGGTCACTCGTAACCCTGACCCCAGACCAGGAATTTGTTTTTTTGAGGAGCCTTTGTTTTACAACAAATCCATCACTTTCCTTTACTACAATTAGGACCAGGTTTGTTGAAGCTGGCATTTTTAAAATTGATTATCTTGTGAAGACTCCTATGGACAGGCTTGGGATTATTGCATTAAGTTTTCCAGAGTGCTGAGGAAAATCGTGGAAGAAGTTCAACAATTCTTAGTGCCGTTGAGAGCTTTTGTTGGAAATCATGCTCATGTTCACCAATGGGATGATGACAATGAAAATGTTTTTCCTTAATTGACAGAAAGTCCTGCTAGACCTGGGGCAGCTGTGACTGAGTGGTTAGAACAGTTGTTCTCCAGTAGGAGAATTGGAGGTTTGAATCCTCCAGCAATCACATGTTGAAGTGTCTCTGGGCAAGACAATGAACCCCTCATTGCCTCTGATGTGTGTCCCATCGGTGTATGAATGCAATCTAAAGCACTGATCAGTCTCTTTAGAATTATTTGTTCAATTAGCTTTGTAGACATCCAGTAGAGTGCTGTATGAATGTGTGTGTGGGGGTAAATGAGGGCACAGATTGTGTTGTAAAGAGCTTTGAGTATCTTGATTAGATAGAAAGGTGCTATATAAGTACAGTCCATCTACTGTAGGGCTGCAGGAAGGAAGGGGACAGCTCCTAACTGTGGAAACACCATAGATGTGTTTTTAACTTGTGAGGGGGAAAACAGCTCTTCTTCAGCTGTGTGAAGATGCTGAATGTGTGCTCTTTGACTGGAACTAGGGAGTCGAGGTTCAGCACAGGTTAAACAACTGGGAGATAAAGTTAGAGAGACCAGACTGAGATGGTTTGGACATGTCCAGAGGAGGGACAGTGGGTATATTGGTAGAATAATGCTAGAAATGCAGCTGCCAGGAAAAAGACAAAGAGGAGATATATGGATGCAGTTCGAGAGGACATGGAGGTAGTTGGAGTGAGGACATAGGATGCAGAGGACAGAGTGACATGGAGGACGACTCGCTGTGGCGACCCCCGAAGAAGGACCAGCTGAAAGAAGAAAAGCTAAAGTTTAGTGTTGCAGTAGCTGAAAGTCCTCTACAGCACATATTCTAATTGCAGGATCTAGCAAAATTGAATGAAATTTTGCACAGTGATATTTTCAGCCATAAATGTATCTTTTTTCAACATTTGATGTTTAAAACTCATCTTTAAAACATTGTAGGGCAATATGCAATTCTTTAAGAAGTGCTAGTCCTGTAACTTCAAAAATTAGACAGGACTCACCACTACCAAAAATTTAAATTATCCATTTTTATCAAATTTTTTTAAGAGTGTATATATGTGATGGCATAATCAAACCCTTTGGTCTTTTTTCTGTCAAGCTTCTCTTTCAGGAGACCAATCCAGGAGTGCGATATGAGTACACCATCCGTCGAAATGTCTCAGAGGACAAGAATACCCCATCTCCTGTTTACTTCTGGAAATATGGATCTTGGAGTGAATGTAGTGTCACTTGTGGAACAGGTGAGAGTTTTGCTTCAGATAAATTAGAAAAAACACATGAAAGAAGAGGGAGAGGAAGATAATCAGCTGGTTTATCTCTTTCAATTCGCCTTTGTTTCACAATCTCAGTAATGGACTGATAGAAAGTTGTGCTGCATTCCCCAGATAATGTTTTTTTATTTATTTTATATTATTAAAGCAGACTGATTCAATTATTTTGTCAACTGAAATGGTGGCTTTAATATGGAGATAAGCACATTTGGTGATAGATAATATGCAAAGAAATGGGAGTTCAATCAAAATGAGTGCAAATTTATAACCAGCCAACACATACAGCACAAAATCTGATTCTCGATGGTCTACCTGCTACGGCTTGTCAGGTGTCATAAAGAGAATAAAAATACACATGTGATATGACAATCTGAAACTGCAACTGAAAAGAATCCATTTGGGATGCCATGAGCTTCAAAGAACATCTGAATTGGTTCTCTGACAATCTAATGGAGAAATGGAAAATTAATTTCACTAAAAAAACAAAAAAAAATTTCTTCCTTGTTCTTTGCTGATGGTAGTGGTGAGTCCTGTCTAATTTGTCCCTGCAGGTTCTCTCTTTGCTGTTTGCTCAGCGTGCATCGCACACACATTCCCTCCACTTATTAAAATTGAAATGAATTACTAATCTTAGCAAATGCATTTCCTCTTAAACCAGACGGGGTACCTTTGCCTCCCCTGACCCCTTAAATGTGCATCCACCTCTAGTAATGGAGTTAATGTAATAAAAACATGCTTTCATATCCAACTCTCAAATCAAAAAGTATCTGGATTCTTTTAACATCTTACCTCCCCATCAATCTGGTTTTAGGGATTTACACAGCACAATAGCTATGTTTACATGTTCATAATACTTAGATCGGATTGAAATGTATTTGGATAAAATAATCTAAATGTATCGTTTACATGGGCACAATCCGTTCACGACAAGTGTTTACATGCCACGGGCTTTTATTCTGAACAGAAGTACTGACACGCGCAGAGTGGTACACTCTACTTAAAAAAACACAGAAGAAGAAGTTCTACTTCCATTCTACTTCCGGTTTACTTCCAAGATGAACGTAAACAAAGCTGTCCCTGTCAAAATTGTCCCTAGGTGTGAGTGAGAGAGTGAATGGTTGTTTGTCTCATTTGTCTCTATGTGTCCCTGTGATGGACTGGAGACAGCTGTTCAGGGTGTCCCTCGCCTCTCTCACAGTGATAGCTAGACATGGGCGCTAGTGACCCCAGTGAGCTGAAAAAGAAGAATCAGGTAAAGAAGGATGGATGGATGGATGGATGGATGGATGGTAAATCTTACACGTTTTGTGAATGACTCACAGCTACCACACCAATTGTTAGCCCAGTATCTCAGTATCAGTGTAACTGTGGTATTGTGTTACTGTACCATTTATGTGTTGCCAGAGGTCATTTGGCTGTGGTGGCCATCTTGAATTGGGTTGACTCTCAAAGTCAATCAGTTGTAAAGGCACATCCAAGTATTCCTTTCAGAGTTTTTTTTTTTTTCAAAATTCACTCAAATCTGTCTTTCAGCAGTGATCACTAGTCTCATTCAATTTTAAACCAATTTATGAAACCTTCTTCTTCTTCTTCTTCTTTCAGCTTTTCACTCTTCAGGGGTTGCCACAGCGAGTCATCCTCCTCCATCTCACTCTGTCATCTGCATCCTCTATCCTCACTCCAACTACCTCCATGTCCTCTCTAAAAGCACACACATTTTTTTGGAAAGTTCACTTATAGTTTCATAGTTTTCTTTCATCATCCTGCCTTGTTTAAAAAAGTGTCCTCTCTTGCCCTGGCCCTGTTACAGATTGTACCACTATGGCTTTATTGTTAGGTCCACTCTGCAGTCGTTCCTCTTTACAAAATAAGAAAGTTGGTGGAAAATTGTTTTTTTTTTTCCTGCTGTTGCAAAATTCTAAAGGTAAGATGTGTTTCAGCCATGGTCAAAAGTGGCAACAGATTTTATTTTATTTTTAAAAATAGTGCATTAGGGGAAACAGCTCTGCCAGAAGAGCCTGCAAGAATATAATTATAGCAATATACCATTATGGAGTGAGTTATAAAATGTGTGCCCTAAGTTTGACCAGTCAGAAACTGTATTTCAAAGCTCGCATTTATGGTTATAATTATTGTTTTCACTAGTACTCTTCTGAAAATAGTTGTTTTTATGTGAGAGGAGGTTGGTTTTTTTTGTTAGCCTGGAACAAACTGCCTTTCAGAATTGTGTTTCCTTTTTACCCACAATTATAAGGCATTGGACCGAAATGACAAACACAGGACAAGATCACAGAGTACCATTTGTTTAAATTCAGCCAGTAACCTCCCCGAGTGCCTTTGTGCAATTACTCTATTTATTTCAACTCTCCGAGTTGAGGTATCTGTCTGACTTTCAATCCAGCGCAGTAGTGCTGCCCTTTAAAAGATGTCTGACAGTGTAAATTAGCCAACGCACGTGCACTGTAGTCTTGAGCAGGAGCGGAGCGGGGGTCTGGAGTTGCTTCCTGCCTCAGCAGAATGAAAGAGTGTGGGAGCAGTCATGGTGGGAAGAGATAAACCTGTGTCAGCCTGAGGAGAAAAGCACTTAGATGTACTGCTGTGTGTAATACAGTTTGAAACCTCCAAATGTCACTTTTAACTTTAATAGTTCTGGCCAAAGTAGTTTTACTTTGTGGACTCTTTTTTTTTTTGCGTCTTGTCAGAGTTGTGCGATGGGCTTTATGTCCAAGCTCTATCACTCAGGAAAAACCCAATAAAACACAAGCCGCACATCTTCCATGTCAGAGTTTTATACTAATATCTTATGTTGAGAAATGAAGTCAAACCTTGAAAGTAACATTATGTGCAATCTCGTGCTCATAGTAAGTGTTGTGAATCACTCTCGGCTACTACCACGTCAAATTTGAGCTCATTATCTGTAAAAATTGACTGAGTCAGATCAATTAACCGTAGGAACCATTTTGAAATGGATTTCCTTTGAAACAAAAGCAGGTGTAGATGTACATCAAATAATACATTTCTGAAAGATTTTTTTTCTCCAATTTATTTAATGGTTCCTGTGATATTTTGCTAACAGACACCCTAATGCACATAAACATATGCATACACTGACCTGGCCAAAAACATAATTGACACATTTTGCATTTTGGTGGCAGGTGATGATTGCATGAAACATATTAGCTTGTTTATGTGCTCAGAAATATTGGGGAAATAAAACCAAGTTATATTTACTTATTGGTCTTTTTTAAAAAAGCTTTTACAACCAAAGTGGACTAAATATATTCTTTGAATAGACTTGAATAGATTTCCAACATCTGTACTGTTAAATTAGTCAGTCAGTTAAATTTGTCATTAGAACCACAAAATTTCAGATTTATTTTTATTATCACTGTAAAAGCCCTAGTTGAACTAAAAGTTTCAAGGTTCAGGAAACTAATTAACATCTGATATGACTATGACAATATTTGTGCATTTTAAAGCCAACTTGACTTGAAAATTTGTTTTAAAAAAAAAACTTACAGATACAACTTAAAAATCAAACACCTTTAAATAAATTAATCAGGTCTCTCTTGTAAATGAGTCCTCGAGGCTCAATGGGATTTACCTGCCTAAATAAAGGTTGAATGAAAAAAAATAAAATAAAGTCTACCTCACCGAAAAACTAATATAGTTGTAGTGATGAAGTGTTCATTAGAGCTGTTGTCAGTTTGTTTCCCATTTAAACAGTCGCAACACTGTTTGAGATTAGGAAATATGTTGTAATAAATTCTCATCTGTATGTTATTCTACAAAGTTCATAAACACAAGAATAAAGAAACTCTTCCTATCCCATCCAGCAAGGTTGAGTCAGGTCCTCTGGATGGATTCTTATTTATTGAAATGTTTCATATTTTATCCAAAAGACTTCTTCAGTCTGAGGAGCTGCAACAAACTCAGCACCTTCTCATAGTGGATCAACCAGTTTGATGGTGACTTCCAGAACTAGCTGTTCATGTTTGGATTGTGTCTCATGTTTTTGTCTTAGTCCTGCTCTCCCACTGTAATTAGTAATTGTCCCACCCTTCTGCCACCTGTTTGTGCTTCCCATCTGTTTCTGTTTTACCGTAATTAGTGTCAGGTATTTAAGCCTGTGTTTCCGTCCTGGGCAGCCGATCATTGTCAGGTTTCCCCAGCGCTGTCAAGTCTTTCCCTAGTGCTCTTCTTCATGTTCTCCTTTCATGTAAGTTTTGCTGCCACGTCAGCGTTTTGTTTAAATAAATATAGATGTATTTTACTCCGTGGAGTCTCTTGTGGTCCACTTGCACCACTGGGTCCGATCCTGCAAAACCAGCACATTCTCTGACAGTTCACATGTAAAAAGGAGGACCATGAGCCTTATTATTAATTATTAAGGCTCATGGTCCTCCCTCCTTCGGTGGGAGACTGCGACGACGTGAAGATTCAACACGTCTGTTGGTTTCCTTCTTTAGATAGATGTACTAATTGGATTTTGTATGTACAGTATGTGAATGTTTCTGTTCAGTGCCCTGAGACAACTTTGTTGTGACTTGGTGATATAGAAATAAACTGAATTTAATTGAATTAACCTTGTTAGATTTAATTACCCGGATTATTGAGCATGCATCAGGACATGTTCCTATCCCCATTTTGAGGCAAATAGAACATGTTATAAATTGCATTTATAATATAAAAATATGTATTAATACTTTAGAATGTTGAAATAAATTAATTTAATAAATAAAGGGGCTTTCTATTGGCTTTAATAGTGTTTTAAATGTCTCCCGTTGCTGAGCAAAGTGAGGAAGTTGGAAATACCAATCATCCAAGATGGCTGCCACCATAAATGTGTATATATAGAATGCACAGTTTTTCAACTAGAAAGCACTGTGAGCTGGATAACTTGGTTCAGGGAAAAGCAACTTGCTGTCTTCCATTTTTATGTGTAGCTACATCTTGGCACAAGAAACATCAATCAAAAATATCCTGATGCATGCTCAATAATCCAGGTAGAAAAATCTAAAAAAGTTAAATCTGGTCCTCTGGACATTCAAAAAAACAAAACAAAGCAAATCAACAAAAAAATGTAGAAACGTTTCGTCTCTCATCCGAGAGACTTCCTCAGTCTGAGCTGCTGTTTTCAGCTCAGTCTCTTAAATAGCACCTTCTCAGAGTGGATCAACCAGTTTTGCTGCTGACAACCAAAACCAGCTGATCACATGCTCAAGAAGGACCATCAGCATAACAATGGATCATTAGCACACTGATGGCTGTTTACTGTTCACAGAGGGCTGAGTGATACTAGCAATCACAGCATTGTAAGAGGGGGACAGTTGAACCCGGAGGCCTCCACCCCTGTTTAACGATGGACGATTTCTTTTCACAAAGATGGCCTCCTTTACTCCTCTCTCCTCAATCAAAAATGTTTTTGCCACATCAGAATCCAAGATGGCCACCACCATTTATATAAGTAACTCACCACCCCTATCATTTGAGAAAAACTATGCTTTCTAGTTTTTATTTTTCTTAAATATCTAGTTTCCTCAAATGATTGGGGTAGCCAAAGATAGATCTATAGTGACCAAGGTCACCATTGGCCACCCCCTGGCTCCTCCATTTCCCCTGGCCTCCTCCACTCACCAGGATTAGTCACTGCGCTGCCATGGACAACCAAAAAGAAAAACTACCTGTCTTTTTTATACATGGTGTAACTCCTATCTACTTGAATATTTTTGCTCCAAAACATTAAGGTTTACTTGCATTCCCTGTTCAGTCCCAGTCAAGAAAAACACTCATCACAAAAACTATAAACATTCACTATTCAAATCCCTCGGTGATGGCTGACATCAGCATATCACTTATCATTTTTAGTATCTTTAAAATGTAAGGTTTAAGTTACATTTTGCAAAATAAACACATCTTGTAGTTCACAACATGAATGATTTATTGCCATTCTTTATTTATTAATGCATATCTGTGTTTTATTTTGTATCATGAGCTTTTTTTGTCCCGTTTGTATTCCAGGTGTTCAGAGACAGACTGTTTACTGTGTTGAAAAGATGACTGGTTTAGCTGAGGAGCGTTTGTGTGACCCCTCCACCCGACCCGATGACAACCACACCAGCTGTACCAAGGATCCATGTCCAGCCACGTGAGTCTGCCTTCCAGACATCATCCATCAGGGTTCACTGACGCTAACTCAGAGTACTTACTGGTTTTTAGCTCTTACGACGCCCAACACTGGAGGTTTTTAATCTGAATGGGAACAAATTAGGCTAAATGCCAAGCCTAGAATTACATAACAGCTGTTAACAAATGCTTTAATATGAATGTTTACCGCCTTTATTTCCATTTTCCTTGTTTTTGTGCCTAAAATGAGAATATGGTTATGTAGAAACCATTTCATCCTTATATCAGAATGTTATACACGTATATGTTTTTACTCGGGATGGGACACAAGTTACTGAGACAAGAGAACCACTATTTATCAGACTTTTTTTTATCTCCACATCATGTGAGCACCACAATGCAGCTTGGTAACTTGTAATACAATTTAAATAAAAACTATATTTTTTCTTGGTTCTTGACCTCTTTGCACATCTGAAACCAGCACAACAAATCCTATAAATACGTTAAAGGCAATAATAAAAAAATGCTTTTATTTTTCACAGTTTTTGTATATGCTACAATTAAAAAGAGAATTTTTGTATCAATCAACACGTTTTACAAATTGGGACATCAATAAACATTTATGTTTAGATGCTTTCAAGGCCAAACCAGCTTAAACAATATGTTATTTCAGTGAATTTCAGCAACTTATTTGTCTATAAGGTATTTATACAAAAGTTTTACCATCATTCCCCTCCTTTTCAAATCCACTAAAGAGTTTTTGTTGTTGATAGTGCTCCTTAAAAGAAAATGACAGGATACTTATAAACTCTGGTCACAGTGCAAGCTCACTTTGTTCTAGATTTAACAAAACAGTAATTTGATTGGAATGGTCATGGTAAAAAGGCATCACACCATTTGTCCCTTCTAAGGTTTGATCTATGAGAGCATAATAAAAAATGATCTTAAACTATTCTAATCTAATCTGAAGTGTACAAAACTCACATCAGATCATCACAGCATGTATTAAACAGGAACAAACCCAAAATGGAAAATTTTAATCCACACTTATTACTTCTAAAAGGTTTTACTGGGAAAGTGTACTTCAGGTGCTGCTGATCATATATATCAATTAACTGATCAGCATCAGTGTGACCATCTCTGTAAAAACTGGAATTATCATAGTTTGCTTATCTGAAGCAAACAGATGAGTTTTTACACCAAAGAGGAACTACATCAGCAGTGACCATAGAGAAGCAACTGTTGCTGCCAATCAGTCTGGGAAGGATTAAAAGTCGTTTACACAGAGTCCATCTTTCTACAGTGAATGTTATTTTGCAACCACAGAACTAGTGTACTCTTGTGGCCATTGAGCCAACCATGAACTCTTCTACAGACCAAAATATTGTAGAAGGTGAGGACATTTGACCTCTCCAAATGGCTTCAAACATCTGTTAAATTCCTGGCAAGAACCAGTGCAGACATGTTCCTGTTTTTAGTTTTCTACATGCACCTTATAATCTAGCTGTTTTCTGTACTTTTATTTTTTTTTGCCATCTTATTTTAATTTGAAAAAAAAAATCTGTATGACTTCTATGATCATCTGTTGTTGTTGTTGTTCTCATCACTCTTTGTTAAAAATCAGGTCTCTCTTGTAAAAGAGTCCTCGAGGGTCAGTGAGATTAACCGGTCTAAATAAAGGTTGAATGAATTTGTCCGACAGATGAAACTTGAACCAAACGAGGTCGTAGAACATGACAGCATAAACACAGCAAGACATCCAGAAGAGAACATCTGAAAAAGAAAAGAACCAAGGTGTTGCAATGGTCCAGTCCAGACTTCAATTTGTATGAAATTCTGTAGTGGGACCTTTAGAGTACTGTGCAGAAATCATCCATCCCTCCTTTCTTTCTTTTGCACTGCATTCTGGGAGTCGGTAGTGGCATGTGGTGAGTTTGAAAAGGAGTTTGAGTGTTTTTCAAACTTTTCTTACTATTTCTACAGAGAAGTTGTTTTTGATGCTGCCAGAGTCTTAACTGGAGTTAGTGGGAGAGATCATATTTCTCCAGTTTTATCTTCTCTCCATTGGCTCCCTGTCAAATCCAGAATATAATTCAAAATCTTACTTCTAACCTACAAAGCTCTCAACAACCTAGCTCCATCTAATATTAGATATCTTATTGTTCCATATTTTCCTAACAGAGCACTTCAATCTCAGACTGCAGGTTATCTCACGGTCCCTAGAGCAGAATGGGAGGCATATCTTTCAGTTATCAGGCTCCTCTCTCGTGGAACCAACTTCCAGTTTCTGTCCGTGAGGCTGACACATTATCCAGTTTTCAGACTGGACTTAAGACTTTCCTTTTTGATAAATACTATAGTTAGGGTTGGCTTGTTATGCTGCTTTAAGCTAAGACTACTGGAGGACAAATTGACCTCATTTCCTTAAATTAATTGTTAAAATTGAATAATTTTCATTTGTTATTATTTCTATCTTAACATGCGATTTGTGACCTGCCATTGTGTATCTATTCCTACCAAACTCAGCCGGTTGAAGCAGATGGCCGCTTGTCCTGAGCCTGGTTCTGCTAAAGGTTTCTTTCTCATGAGGGAGTTTTCCTTTCCACTGTCGCCTTCATACTTGCTCAGGAGGAGAGTTTAGCGATGAAGTTAAACTCAAAGCAGTCTGCTCCTCAGATAGTGTTAAATTATCATTTTTAAATATGAACATTTCTGATGACTTATTTTATATATGAATGTTTCTGTTCAGTGCTCTGAGATGACTTCTATTGTGACTTGGCACTATATAAATAAACTGAATTGAATTGAATTGTATGTTTAACAAAGTAAAACCAGGTTCTCTGGACAGAATCTGTCCAGAGAACCTGGTTTTACTCTGTTAGATTTTTCAACTTGGAGTATTGAGCATGCATCAGGATATTTTGTATGTTTTTTTTATGTAAATGTCTTGTTTGTTTAAGTATTTCTGAGATTGATGTCCACTCGGCCGACAGTGTGGTAGTAGGGATGGTGTCCTCGAAGATGTCGTCCCTGTTGCTGGGTCATGGGGTGAGGGTGATGCCACAGCCCAACACCACAGTGAAGCAGGTGCTGCTGGCCATCGGAGAGCAGGTTGGGCACAAATGCCTCCCAAATTTAATTTTCATTTATTTATTTCTATAGCGCTTTACACAACCAAATGGTGACCAAAGTGCTTAACAAAAACAGTAATTAAAATGACAACAAGTTATAAGCAAGAAAAAACACAATAAAATAACAAAAATAGAACCAGTAATGTCAACACATATTTAAGTACTAAAAGCCTGTTGGAATAAAAAAGTCTTAAGCTTCGATTTAAAAGGGCCAAGTTCAGTAATCTGACGTAGCTCAAGTGGGAGCTTATTCCAGAGTCGAGGTGCGGCCGCAGAAAAGGCACGGTCACCCCAGAGTTTATATTTTGTCCTAGGAACAGAGAGCAGGAGCTGTCTAACCTCAGAGACCTGGAGCGAGCGGGGAAACTTAACAACTCTGTTATATAAGGAGGAGCGAGGCCATTCAGAGCTTTTAATTCAAATAAAAAAGTTTAAAATCTATTCTAAAATGGACAGGAAGCCAATGTAGTGAGAGTAAAACAGGTGTGATGTGGTCCCGTCTAGAAGTATTGGTTAAAAGGTATAAGTGGTGGTTGTTTTCATGAAGTAGCAAGCATTTGTGACTGAACTTACAGAGTGGAGTTAAACTTAATATTGGGTTTTTTGTCTGTTTTGCCTCTGGTGTTGCCCTCCACCCAGATCATTGTGTCCAGAGTCCCTCTGTTTGTTCCTAACGAGGCTCTGGAGCAGGAGCTGAGGCACTTTGGGAGGATGGTGAGTGGATTTTGGGCAGTGAGTCTGGGCTGTAGGGACACTGAGCTGAAACCTGTCCAATCACTGCACGCACAGTAGGTGTTCACGTTTTTGGATTCACCCACTCAGACACTTGAGGTTTCCTTTCGGGTAAAGCACAGGGATGGCTCTTATATGGCGTAAGCTAGCTCAGGCAGCATGAAGTGCTTTGAATGAGGACATGTGGGTCATAAACACATCACTTCTCCCCATTATCAGCTGGCAGCAGAGCCTGCTGTGAATGATGCACCTGCTGAGGACGGATGAGAGAGCAGTGAGAGGAATGCATGTTCTGAAGATGCCCCTCCCACAATCATTAGTGGGATTTGTTGGGGCTGGCAGCTTGGCTGAGGCCGTCACCAGTTATGAAGTCTTAAATGTTGTTCCTGAATCTTCTCTTTAAACAAAACAGAACAAGAAAAAATTAAGAAAATTGGTCAGTCTGAACAAAGTGTCTGAGTTAAGCAGTATGGAGATGGAGGGACAGGTAACAAAGTCTAGTGATCAAACTGATGAAGTGGATGAACTAGAGGGTGAATCTAAAACTGACTCAGACTGTGTTTCTGTGGCTGGCAGTGTTTCCAACACTGAGAACCACTTTCTGGAAGAGATTAATGAGTTTTTGGATGATACTTATGGCTAGTATTTGACATCAAAGAATATTTTCCTGATGCTGTGAAGTTCATTAAGACCGTCTGCTTCGGAAAGCTGTAAATTTAAACTTATTAAATGAAGAAAAAATGTTACTGCCTTAAGGAACATGTTAAATTATTAAGGTAAAATTTAAAAGCGTCTCAATCAAAAGTGGCAAGGAAAATGAAACTCTCAGGATAACATCATGATCAAAAAGAACTTGCAGGTTGTTGTTGTCGTTCACTCTTATCTGCCCACATCTGCTCTTTTTCTCTCCTTACATGAAGGGGTTTAAGAGTGGCCTCTCTAAACATAAATGGGGGAAGAGATGCACAAAAGAGAGCTTTAATATCTGAAATTATTAAACAAAAAAGCTTATTTGGGGGCGGGGGGGGTTGCAGGATACCCATAGTCCATCCATCCATCCATTCTCTTCCGCTTTTCTGGGGTTGGGTCGTGGGGGTAGCAGCCTAAGTAGCGAGGCCCAGACTTCCCTCTCCCCAGTCACTTGGGCCAGCTCCTACGGGGGAATCACAAGTTGTTCCCAGGCCAGCCGAGAAACATAGTCCCTCCAGCGTGTCCTGGGTCTTCCTCTGGGTCTCCTCCTGGTGGGACATGTCTGGAACACCTCACCAGGGAGGCATACTGACCAGATGCCCGAGCCACCTCAACTGGCTCCTCTCGACGTGGAGAAGCAGCGGCTCTACTCTGAGTCCCTCCCGCATGACCAAGCTTCTCATCCTGTCTCTAAGGGAGAGCCCAGACACCCTGAGGAGAAAACTCATTTCAACCGCTTGCGTCCTTGATCTCGTTCTATCGGTCACAACCCAAAGCATCGAGAGCTTCGACTTTTGACTCAGCTCTCTCTTCACCACAACAGACCAGTACAGCACCCGCTTCACTGCAGACACCACACCTATCCGCCTATCGATCTCTCGCTCCATTTTTCCTTCAAACAAGAACAAGACCCCGAGATACTTGAATGAATGAACTTTATTTTAAAAGGGACAGTGCACAACTCACACATAAATGTCACCATTTGATGTGCTGTACCAGATTATAGCAAAAGCTAATTCGCATCTGCAGTCCCTTGGGGAAAAAAAAACAAACAAACAAAAAAATGGATATTTAATGCAATAATAAAATAAAACAGAAAATATAACACTATAAAATGTTTAAAATCACAATATACAAACACATGAACAGACTCAATCATTGGCACACACACACAGTCTTACAGTTACGTTAACTTAAACTCCTCAACTTGGGGCAGGACCTACTCCCCGACTCGGAGAAGGCACTCTACCCTTTTCTGGTTCAAGACCATGACCTTGGATTTTGGGGTACCAGTATGGGGTACCAGATCCTTTGATACGGGTTGTTAGGTCCCAGTATGACTGGTGTCAGAGCTTGGTTTGTATTGCCGGCAGTAAGTCGGGCTCATTCCTGGTGAAAGTTGGACTCCACCAAGGTTGTCCTTTGTCACCGATTCTGTTCATAACTTTTATGGACAGAATTTCTAGGTGCAGCCAAGATTTTGAGGGGATCCATTTTGGTGACCTTAGGGTCGCTTCTCTGCTTTTTGAAGATGATGTGGTCCTATTGGCTTCATCAGGTGGTGATCTACAGCTTTCGCTGGAGCGGTTCGCAGCCGAATGTGACGCGGCCGGGATGAGGATCAGTTCCTTCAAATCCGAGGTCAGTCCAAGGAAACCCATAGTGATGGAAATGAAATAGACTGGGATTTATGGTGGGGGGACATCCTCAGTCATGGGACAAGTTTTAGAGCAGAGGTTGCCATCTTGTTTTCTTCTGTGTTAAATATAATTATTATCTCGAATACAGAGACTGTGAAGTGCAGTTTTATAGTGAAAGTGCAGATGGAGGAGTTTATTTGTCAGTTCAATAATAGCTATGCTCCCAACCAGGGCTTTGAATGGGCAGGTGTTTTTAAGATTTTGGATGAAAAATAATAAACATAGATTGTGGGAAACTATAATTTTAGGTGGTTATTGGAATTGCTATACTACTGTGTTAGACGACTGGAGAAAAATCACGTCTAAGATCATCACGTTTTCTGTCTAACATGCTGAAGAAAGCAGTCTTGGTCAATGCTTGGCAAATGAAAAACCCTTCAAGCAGACAATATACCTGGGTTATAAGTTATAAGTTGGTGCTTTAAGGTTAGACAGGCTTTATGTTTCTGGTTCCTTCATCACTCGTGTTTTAAATGGTCAAATTTTTCCTGTTGGCTTTTTCAGATCATCATCTAATTTCTATAGAAATGACTCTTCCATCTACTGAAAAACAACATTTTTGACATTTTAACGTGAAATTATTACATGATTCTCTTTTCTGCAAAAACTTGGATTCACTGGAGATCAAAGAAATGTGACTTCCCCACATTTATTCAATGGTGGGAAGTAAGAAAGGCTCAAATTAGGGTCTTTTGCTTCTTTTGGTACCATTGTTATCATTAAGAGAACTGTGCAGAAGCTGGAAGAAGAGATAAAAACACCTGGAATTGTTTTCTGTCTCAAAATCAACACCACAGACTTCACTTCAATCCAAAAAACTTGAACTGAACTCGTTGTTACATGAGAAAGCCAAAGGAGCTTGTCAGGGCACGTTTTTAAATATCCAAGAAATGGATCCACCTACTACCTTCTCCTTTGGACTTCAGCAAAACTAGCTATTTGGATGACCTGAAAGAACCACATGGTAGGCCAGGGCTGGAATGACGTAGTTGTGAACTTTAAAGGTTTGCTTGTAGTCTGTTTGAAAGTAGAGGATGCTTTTTACACCCTCATCAGCAACCTTAACTCGTTAAAGGCCTCTGGGGAGTCAAACAGATTTTATGTTCATTAAGAGAGGATGTTTCTTTTTTTCTTTTTTATCTTCTTTTTATAAAAACTTTCAACAACAACAAAAATAAAAAAAACATAAAACAAAGAAAAAAAGAATGGATTAATGGATCAGGGCCTCATCCTCAGTAAGTAGGGTGTTGCTTCGGTCAGTCATGGTAAAGAAAGAGTTAACTCGACAGGTAAAATCTTGGTTCACCTTGTTCAACTTGTTCCAACCCTCAACTATGGTCATGAGGTATGGATCATGACAGGGAATATACAAGCGACTGAAGTCAACTTCCTTTGTAAAGTAGCCGAGCTCAGCCTTAGAGACAGGATGATGAACTCCGTCATCTGGGGTGAGCTCGGAGTACAGCTGCTCCTTCACATCCAAGGAGCCAGTTGAGGTTCAGGCATCTGGAAAGAATGCCTCCTGGACATCTGCCTTTGGAGGTTTTCCAGGCTCGTCCCAGTAGGGCTGAATGGTTTTGGAAAATGTTCAAATTTAAATGTTTTACCTCAATATTGCGATTTAATATGTGATTATTTTTCAATGTCTTCTTATGCATTTTTAAACAAACACAAACAATCAATCTGTTCCAGTTGCAAAAAACTACACTGTTTTCAGCTCCGCTGCAACTCAGTTTTTGCATTTTTTGTTTAGCACCAGGAGAGCAACTTGGCTAAAGCATGTGCACGAGGTCATTCTGTACCACTTATCCATTGTGTTTACCAAAAATGTAAACCAGGCTTGGTCAATATATTAATGAGCATCATGTTGTTTGCTATGAACTCTGTTATTGTTCGAGTTATTTCCACGTGCAGCTTCAAAATATGTTCATACGGAGTAATATTTTCGAACAGTTTGGTCAGTGATCCCTGTCAGCTGCTACTTTGCTTACTTTAAGTTGAACCACTGGTCGTTGGCATTCTAGCCATGCAACTATCGTGAATGGCTTTGTGGTGTTTTATAAGTGATAAAGATTTGTGGTGTTACCTTGAGAAGTAGCAACAGCAGCAAGGCAGGTTCTGCACAATACATGTCGCTGTGCAGCGTCTTCTTTTTTATAGACAAAATAATTCCAAACAACAGACCTGCTGTCCCTCTTTGGTACCAAACTTTCAGGTGTGTCAGCTTCTGTCGAGCCTGACGCCACTGTACAACCAGTTTAAACGCAGTGTTGACTTCTTCCACTCCCTGCTCTGGTTTGCTCCGCTCCGCTCACTCTCAAGTCACGTAACCAGATCACGTGACCAATTAAATCGCAGCCTTTGCGATTAGAAAATCTCGTTTTATCATATTACGATATTATTGCAAATGCAATTAATTGTTCAACCCTACGTCCCACTGGGAGAAGCCCCCAAGGCAGACCAGTTAACATTTGTTTATTAATCAATGAATAATTAGTGCACAACTGTGTATTTAATTGCTAATGGTTAGGTGATGTTTATTTAATTTGTATTAAACCAAGAAATAATAGGCAAAAATATAAATATTTAACATGCTTGTTTTATTTAAACCAACCTGGATTGTCTATTATACCCTTTGTTATTGTTTTTTAATAACCTTTCCATTTTGCAGGGTTTTGAAATAAATTCAACACCAACATATGTTTCTTGATTGGAGGCAAAAAAACTAAAATGTCCAGTTTCCATTACAAACATGCACAATCAGTGTTGTCTTTTGTTCATTTGTGTTTTAGTCTTTTTGTCCTCATTTTAGATATTTGCTCAATTTAAAAAAGAATGTGTGTTCAGCATGTGAGCAGAAAGACTATTTTCAGTGAATCAAAATGTGACATGTCCCTATTGATCAGCTATTTTCTGAATTCCCCACCCAAGACACATTATGGACATTTTGTACAGGGAACAAAAACCTTTTATAACACCGCCATATTGGCAAGGCCGCATTAGAACAGGATGCAATGAAACACTGTCATATTCATCTCAAGGGTACCAATGAAATGAAAATCTTTGCTTCTTTTGTGTGTCTTTGTGCAGATGGTGGGTCGGAGATTGGCAGAAATGCTCAGCAAGCTGTGGAAGCTTGGGCCTGGCTAAAAGGATCGTTCTCTGCATCCAGGCTGTGAGTGCAGACAGGCAGAAAGCTCTGCATCCCAGCAACTGTGAGCATCTCCCCAAACCAGAGTCCATATCTGCCTGCAACACGCACACGCCCTGCCAAGCAGACTGGGTCACTGGCAGCTGGTCAATGGTCAGTTTTTAATGTCTGTAATTGTATTAAAAAACAAACCATATTACTTGTAGGTATTTGTAATAGCTTTAATGTACTGTATGGTGACTAAAATCTCTCCCGTCTTGTTTTTCTGCATTACATGCACAAAAGCTGCAGAGAATCCTTCTCCTGCTCATTGGAAGAACATGTAAACATTTCCATGTTCCAGGCTTTTCAAACTGAAAACAATCTTGCTCGTTTGTATTACACACATGTGCTGATCATTTGTAATGACGAGTGCTCATAGGTGGCACGTAACGTTAGATTTTCTGCTTGTTGTTTTAACGATACCACCAGCTACAATGTCAAATCAATAATGTCAACATGTCAGTCTTTTACTGTAAATGCCTCATTCAAATATGGAGGCAAAGTGTGTTTTAAAATTGTGTATACGTGCATGAAACTGGAAGCATGTTTTTCTCTCGCTGTGTCTTATTTGTTGCTGGTTTAATCAGATTTCTTGTTAACCCTTTTATGAGAGAAAACAGTCTGTAACTACACAATCATATTTCGACAGACTAAAATATCAACATGACTGCTCTCACACAGACATGTCAGCCTCATCCAGCCTCAACTTTCTGCACCCTCATCAATTTTGATTTGTCCCACATTTTTGTTGATACTTGGCAAGCAACTTTTCTAAAATTAGCTAATTTAAGCTAATTTACAAATGTAGGCCATCTTGTTCAGTTTTAAATAAACAGGCTGCACATTGGCTCTATAATAGAGCAGTGTTACCCATTCATGCACTAATGATGGTGTCAGACAAAATGCTCTCCTGCTATTAGTGACATGTGGCTCATGGACACCTAATTATGTGGAGGGGAAAGAAATTAAACAGATATCCCTAAAATTGGTGGGAAACCATGAGATGTGGATTGTAAAACAATTTAAAATTACCATGCTTTGAAAAAAATTTGCTGTAGGAAATATTACTTTTCAAACACCACCTTGTTGTTCACCCTCAGAGAATTGACTCTATAAGTTCTACTTGGCAGTTCCTGTTGGCAAATTATCCCATTAACCACTGAATGGATTCTCTGAATGGAAACGCTGAGGGAGAAAAAAATCATTGGATTCACATTTACAACCAATTAACTTTATGCAGTTCTGCAAGACATTCTAGGTGTTTACTTACTGTGATTGTAGGCTGTGAATATAAATAACATCATGTGGCCTTCTGACCTTATTCAATTATAAATGACAATATGAAATATGCATCTTTTCTAACAGCAAGAATGTGGTGTAGTGTGTCTGTGAAATAGTTGTAAAACTAATTGTAACTGGAGAAATTGCATTTCCTGTGAAAATGCAGTGTGAATGCTTATTGCAGAAGAACTTGCTGGAAAAACAGCTGAAATTAGCTTAAACAAAAGCATGCTGAATTATAGCTGAAATGGAAGAACAAGCCTAAGTTAGCAGAAGCAAGCAGAAAGAACACATATTTGCTGAATTAGGTTTGAATAAACAGAAATTAGCATAAAAACTAGGAATTTAGCTAAAAAAAAGCTGAAATTAGCATAAAACAGCTAAATAGTAGCTGAAATAGCAGAAAAAGCTGAAACTAGCATAAAAAAGCTGAAAGGAGCATAACAAGCTGAGTTTAGAACAAATAAGTTAATTAGGTTGAAAGTAGCAGAAATTATGAAGAAAAACTTGAATTTATCTGAAAACAGCTAAAATAAGGTAAAAATGCTAAAAAGCTAGCTGCAAGGTGGAACAAGCTTACATTAGCAGAAGAAAGCAGAAGAAAGCAGAAACAGCGTTTACCCAGTTAGGTTGAAAGAAGCAGAAATGAGCACAAAAAAGTGGAAATTTTCTGAAAAATCTGAAATTAGCAACAAAAAAAAAAAAACTGCTGAAAAGTAACTAAAAAGGAAAGAAGCTGAAATTACAAGAAGGAAGTGGAGAATACATGTTTACCTAATTAGGCTGCAAAAATTTAAATTAGTGCAAAAATGTGGAATTGGCTGAAAAAAACTTAAATTAGCATGAAAACAACTAAACAGTAGCAGAAATGATAGAAAAAGCTGAAACTTGCAGAAATAAGCTGAAAGGAGTATAACAAGCTGAAATTTGCAGAAAGAAGTTAGAAGAAGCACAAAAATGTTCAAGTTAGAAGAAAGAATCAGAAAGGAGCACAAAACAGCTGAAAAAACAGCTGAAATTAGCTGAAAAAAACGTTTAAGGAAGGAAAGAAGCTGAAGCAGAACAAAATGTGAAAGGAGCAGTAAAAGGTTGTAAAAAGATTTAAAGATCTGAAGGATGTAAAATGAGCTCAATTCATTTTCTATTGGTGGAAAAAAGTGTCAGAAAAGGCTAAATATGTTGAAAAGCTAAAGCTGCACCAATACTAAAAGTTATAGCAGAATTGTCCTGAAAGAGCTGAACGTTTTGAGTTATGACTTGTTGAAGTAATTTGAAAACTGCAGGACGAGAATTGTGCCAAAAAATATACGGAAGAGAAATGGATCACGGTTGTGTGAATGCTTCCTAAACATTCACACAATTTTAAAAACATTGATTTTACTTCTCACCTACTTCAACCCTTTTGTTTCCATTTTTATTCAAAAAGTAAAGTACAAAAGTGAATCAAAGTATTTTCAAATAAACAACTGCCTCAGCTGTTTGTATGCCAGTGACAAACTTTATGTTGAGCAAAAGAGAAAGTATTAGAACATTAAAAGAATCATTAGAGACTCAGGTAAAGCAATAATTTTACCTCATTAATGCAATTAGCTACTAAATTTACTCAAATAAGAAGCAGAGTTTGGCAGATTATTCGTTTTTGCAAAATGTTCCTAATCTTTGTTGTCATCGAGCCTCCCTACTTGCAAAAATACAAACTCTGTTCCTTCGTTTGTGTACAGCTGCCTTATCTTTGGAAAACCTAAACTTTAAATCGCCTCGTCAGCTTGAAGGCAGGCACATTCATCACAGCACAAGGACTGGATGTCATCCTTGATAAAAATGCAAAAGTGGGACGCTCATTATTCGTTTCATTAGTAGGTTACATTAAAATGTCAATAAACGGGTCTTAATCTCCTCCTGAAGCATGTTGCAGGATGAGAGAAAGTGCAAGCCCAGAGCCCCTGAACCGTTTCATATTTTTATTATCCTGTACTCAAGTTTTCACATATTGCTTGTTTCAGGATAAGTTATGTCGGGTTACTTTAATTGTACCCAAGGGTAGATTTGGTTTGCAGTGGTACAGAGCATAAAGCATACATCCATGAGCACACACTGTAAAAAGTAAGAACACCTCAAATAAACCATTCACAGATAATAGTGCTCAAGGCTCCACGGGTCATGTTCAAAACAAAGTAGGACATGAAAGAGGAGAATAGAAACTTTAAAATCCAACTAGTATAAAAAATGTATTAAAATATTAATTTATCATTAGATTAAAAAAAATCTGTTAAACCACTGAGAACACCGGTGTCAGTTCAGTTTGTTCATTTCAATAACAGCAGTAGGAACAAAAATATTTTTAAAGCATCTTGTCCTACATTTAGGGACTAAAAACCTCCGACCGGAGGGAAGAAGCTGAAACTCCCTGTAAAGAGGGTAAACCTGGCTAACAACCTGCTGCAGGGAGCTCTTTTCTTTCAGTGCGATGCTTGACCAAACCATGAGACCAAGGAAAAGGATAAAACTCATTCAATAAAAGCACGCTAAAACACGGTCATCATGGTTCGGTCAATATTAAGTTTGCAGAGTATTCTTAGACAAAGCAGGCGCTGGTGGGCCTTCTTCACTTTGTCAAAATTGGTTTCAAAGTTTAATTCATCATCTATGACTGTCCCAAGATATTTCTAACACTGCACTCTCTCAATGGCTTGACCTTTGATTAAAGTGACTTGGTGCTTGTGAGGTTTCCTCCTAAAATCAATGATCATATCTTTCATCTTGAGGAAAGAGTCCTCGCGCCATGGAACAAAATCATCAGGAACCTGCCCGTGACTACTTTCATTTCCTTTAAGCAGACTGACAATAACAGAATCATCTGTGTACTTTATAATGAACCTGCTGTCACATTTGCTCTGACACCATAAATTATACATAACGCAGGATGCTGTGTTGTTGGCCTTGATATAAAAAGAGACTGTGTCAGCACAAAATGCTAAATTTAAAAAATGTAATTACGGTAATTAATGTTAAAAACCATGTACCGGCCTGACTGAGCTTTGTTGGATTTTCTTTTACCTGTATTATCGAGCATGAACTTTGATGTACCTGTCTACAGTTGTACATAACTTAATGGGAAGCTGTGGCTTAGTGTTTAGAGCAGTTGTCCTGCAATTCAAGAGTTGGGGGTTCAAATCCACCAGCAGTGACATGCCGAAGTGTCCCTGGGCAAGACACTGAACCCCTCATAGCCTCAGATGTGTGTCCCATCAGTGTATAAAGCTCTGATTAGTCTCTTTGGAATGATGTGTTCAGTTAGCTTTGTAGAGATGTAGTAGAGTGCTGTATGAATGGGTAAATGAGGACAGATTTTAAAGCACTTTGAATGTCTTGATAAGATAGAAAGGTGCTATATAAGTACAGTCCATTAACCATTTACAGTTCATACAAAGTAGTTTTACTTTATTTTTTAATTCTAATATATGCAGGTGAGAGACAGGTCTGTGTAACAATTATTTGATGCTGTTGACTTTTCAGGCATGTAAAATGTTTTGTTGGCCTCTTTGTTATTAAAGTTGACTGTCACACTGTATGTTAACACTCCTAACTCGACTTTTTTGTCTGTTCTTGCCTGCAGTGCTCACAGACCTGTGGAACTGGATTCCGTTACCGTAATGTCACCTGCTCAAACACAAGTGTTGATTGTGACCCTCAAAATAAACCTTTCGCTGTCACAGCCTGCCATATTCAGGTTTGTACACAGCTTGTTGATCATTTTGGAGGCATCGAATGGTCTGGGAGTGGATGGTCCAGTAATGACGTGCTCAATGAAATTAACCCCATTCCTGAAGTCAAGCCTCCTCCCAAATACAGCACCACCAGAAGCCAGCCAAGAACCAGTAACGACTGGAACAACATTGACGAGGGAGACTTTCACTACCGCAACATTGAAAATAATGAACATCCTCAAGAAATTAGTGTTCCTGTTGATGATTTTTACTACGATTATAACTTTATCAACTTTCATGAAGATTTATCTTTTGACTTTGAGAGCAATGAAGAGAGATCAGAAAGCAGCCATGGATTCGGTTCTCAGGAAGCCAAGCCAACTGAGAAAGAAAAGTCTCCCGTGGGATCTACAAGCGCGCCCACAGCAAATCGTACTGTTTTAAAAGTTGATACATTGGCAACTGAAGAGCCCCAGATCATTAAAACAGACAACAGTTCTGAGGAATTATATGAGGAAAATCTGGATGACTTTCTGTCGGAGGATCGTCTTCTTCCTGTGTCTCCCACTCGGCCATCACCAAAGTCTACAACTCAGCATTCACAAACAGAAAAAGATAGAAATTGGTGGTGGCCTGAAAACCCAAGAGCACTGCCCAATTTGCTTTTTACTGCAGAGCAGCCGGCACTCGATGAAACATGGGGGCAATCTGGGGAGGAGGAGAATCACTCTGAGCATCTCACTGTGACTTTAACACATGGTGCTCCCACTCCCAGACATCAAACCACTGCTGGTGCTACAACAGTGAACTTTCTGGAGGCGGTTCATGATTATATCTCTGCAGAACAAGACGATGGGGAGAATTCAGGACCTTTAGGTTCTCTCTTTCCGGAAACTGTAACTCAGGTTAGGACTGAACTTGACGAATCCGAAATACCTCAAACAACCAGTGTGTCTACATATCTACCTGTTGCTGTCACGATGGAGGATTGGGACTTGGATTCAAATAATCTTGCCACCAGTGATAGTACATTCTGGTATACCAGCTTTGACCTCAGCACAACATTACCTTCTTCCCCTGAGGAATCCTCACCTCCTCCCACTTCTCCTTCCGCTCCCTTTCTTCTTATCTCAGGTAATGTAGACATGTCTGACTCTTTGTCTTTAACTGGAACAGAAGTCAGACCTGATCCGAACCTTCAGGGAGCTACAATGATCCTTCCAGCAGACTCACAGACAGCTACAATGGATTTTACATATCCTGCACTCCCTGAGACAACTGGAACAAATCCCACATCCCAGCCTCCGCTCTTTCATTCAACTGACTTTGATTATAATGAAATATTAATTCCCTCAAGAGAGGTGGAGAGCAAAATTAACAGTCAACCTAACCTTTCAAAGGTTACATCAGTAACTCCTAAACTCAGCTCAGCACAGGCAAAGCATATGAATTCACCATCACCCGCTGCTCCGTTTTTCCCGACCCATGGAGAAAGTTTTGGGACAATTTCAGTCGAAAATTCTGCCTCCCCACAAGTCAGCGGAGCTGCCTTCTGGATCGCTGGTAACTGGAGCACTGTAAGTTTTTAAATCAAACATCATTTTTAGTTAGTTTGTATTTTGTCTATATAGTATATAGGACCCCAAAATAGAAGTCATACAAATGACGTAGTTTGAGCTGAACTTAATGCATAACAGAATAAAATGTAAAGAAGGTGTATTGATCTACATAGATTTAATATTAAAAGAGATATTTTGGTTGTTTTTGAAATTATGTTCCGTCAGATAGCAATCAATAGTTATTAGCTTATACTTTGTAAGCCATGACATCGGTCACACAGCATGGAGTATGAAAAAAGGAAAGAAATGGCCCAAAGCAGGGCCCTTTATGTCCCCCATCGTAGAGCAAAGGGGGCAATTGGAAATATGTTCTGTCTGCCAGTTCATGCATGTTATTAGCTGGATATCTTCAAAAATAAGCATCGTACTGACTTCCATTTTGGTGTGAAGCTGCATCTAGGCATAAGAAAGTACCTTATTGAAAATTGGGTTGTCATGTTAAAACTCAAGATACGTCACATTCACCCCTTTCATTTGAGGAAATTATGCTTTCTAGTTTTTTTGTATTTAGCATAAAAGTATAGTTTCCTTAAATGATTGGGGTGATCGAAGATTAATTTATGGTGGCCAAGGCCACCATTGGCCACCCCCTGGCTCTGCCTCTGCACCTGGTCGTTGACAAAATTGCTCCTTCCACTCACCAGGATCCATCACTTTGCAGTGAAAAAGAAACTCCAGTGTAACGCCTACCCACTTGAATATTTTGCTTCAAAAACACAAAGGTTCACTTGCAATCCCTGTTTGATTATAGTCCAGAAACTTGAAAAACTCATCTTGAAAACTACAAACATTCACTATTAAAATCCCTCAGAGATGGGAGGACATTGGTGTACCACTTGTTAAATCTTTTTCTACTTTATAAAACAACTTCTTCTTAAAAATAACTTGGAAAAATGGTACATCCAGTAGTAGAAATCGACACTTTTGCATGACACTGTTTAGTTTTTCACTGTTTTCTTAACATACAAGAGCATTGTTGCTTTTTATTTACAGTATAAGTGCTTAGCATGGAGGCTGCAATTTTACACTACCCTGTTAAGTCATAGCATAATACACAGAAAAATGTTTACAGTTTTTAATTTTAAGGTGGGCATGTGTTTACATTTCACTCTGAAATCCTAAAGTTTAAGAGTTGAGGTGAACCAACAAGGTGTAGATGACAGACAGGTGAAATGATACTCGCCTTTAAAAATGGGTTTCTTTGTGGACAGTGCTCCACCAGCTGTGGTCTGGGTGCTGTCTGGAGGACTTTGACTTGCAGTACTGGTTCAGAGTCTAACTGTGATCCAACCAAGAAGCCTGCACCAGCCCGGCAGTGTTACCTCCGCCCCTGTTCCATGTGGAAGCTAGGAGAATGGAGTGCGGTGAGACTGCTTGTTAATATATGTATGTTTTATATGACCCGACAGTATATGTAGTGCTGATGTTTGACAGTGTGCTACTTAACCAGCACATTATTGGAATTAAACAGTGATACAACTTGTTTGACATTGCACAGCAAACATGAATGCATCAAACACATGGATGCCTGCAAGCATCAGTAGATCCTGCTGTTCACTTGAAGGTCATGCTTCATCTTTTTCCCAGTGCTCCAAGAACTGTGAAGGAGGCATCAAATTTCGAGAGGTCCAATGTTTCGACCTGAGAGACGAAAGACCTCTGCGACCTTTCCACTGCCGAGCGATGTCTACCAGACCGCCAACGCAGAAGCCCTGTAATGTTCGGATATGTCTTGACTGGTACAGCTCTTCCTGGGGTCAAGTGAGTGAAATTATTTTATTTTTTTATTCTTCTAATCCAATATTCATAAGATCGTAAGCTTTAGAATGGAGAGATGTTGTGTAATTAAGAACACTGGAAATACTAAATCAGGTTACAAACAAGTCTTCCTGTCTGTTTCAAAGGGTTTTTTAAGTTAAGGAAAAGTAATTATAATCTAAGGGGAGCTTTTATTTATGAAGTAAGCAATGTAGGAACTAATGTGAATTACTGATGTGTGAGGAAATTAAGTTTTCTAACTCTCTTTAAAGTTTAAGAAATAAATTAAAATGCAAGTTAATGAAGAGTTACAGTTTATAGTAATAATAATTTATTACATAATAAACCTAATACATGGAAATATAATGCCCATAATCACAGTAATAATATTTATGAAAAATAGGAATAATGATTTACCTGGATATGTATGTAAATAAGTGTAAATTGGGAGGACATTATTTTTGTTGTAATGTACATTGAAAATTGATTTTCTGTTTGGTCTTTTTTTTTGTGGTTATTGTTTTTGTGCATTTTGGGGTTCTGGGGAATTTATGAGAAATTGAAAGGAGAGGCATAATAATCCTTTGACTTCTACCTATTCCTTTTTTGGTCATGAAGGTTTTATTTATTTATTTGTTTGTTTGAAACTGTTCTTTTTGACATGACTAAATAAATCATTCATACAGATTTAATGAAGATGTGTTTATGTGTGTTTGTGTTCTTGTTTGGGCACTAAAGGTAACATGTTAATATGTAGTGTGTTAACATGTTTTTAATATGACAAGTTAAAATGTATGGGATAATTATAATAAAGCCACCTCACACATTTTCTTATACTAATTTGCATCTAATTATAAATATGCTGGGACTGGGTGACACAAAATGCTGTTGTATGTGTAACATCTGCGGGTGACAAACTAGGGTGGGCAGTTTAATTAAACCAATATGTTTGAAAACTTTATTGACATTACACATTATTGCATCAGAGACCCAAAGCGTTCATCTTTGAAGTGTCTCTCATAATCACATCCTTGTCTCCTGCCAGGCTGATTTTCTCCCTGAAGAGATTTTAGTGATGTCCATTACGGTTTGTGTCTGGTAAATTGTCTGCACTCACAAGAGAAGCACTGTCACAAATGTTTCTCATTATGATAATGTAATGTGGGGGTTGGATAACAGGAAAACACATTTTATTTTGTATGTGCTATAAGTATTACTAGGTGTTTAGTTGAAAAAAAAATTTGTACCAAAATATCTGAAAAATATTGAGCTTTGATATTGAAATATGTTTTAATTGAGACTTAAAACTTGCTATGCATTAGTGAAGTGTTTAAGCTAATGACTGTTTTATTTAGGAGGTATTTTATAAACAAACTTTACTAACTAGAGATTATAAAATATTCTATGGTAATAGAATACTTCATAGTGCAAAATTTTTAAAAAACCTATATGTAAATTGATTTTTTTAATGTAGTGTGGAAGCTGAATGATTGCTGAAATTTGTTGAAGAATTAATAGTTTAAGTCAAAACAAGCAAATGCTAAATGTAGCAAACAATAGCTCAAAGCTACAATTAGTAAAACAGTAGCTTAAAGCTTTTTTTATTTTTTTACAAAAATAGCACAAATGAGTTGAAGTAAATTCCAGAGAACCGCACATTTAAAATACAGTAGTTGAAAAGTGAATGAACATCTATGGGCCTTTTTTTTTTCTTACGTGAGGTAAATGCATTGAAAGAATAAAATAAAAGTTAAATACTGAAAGTCTGCACTAAATGTTGTGATATCTGATTGGTTTAAACAGCACAAAGTGTGGAATGAGCTTGATTGGAAAAAAAACGAGGGGAAATGGCTATAAACAGGAAAACAGTATGCTGAATGCTGAATCCACATTCACATTATACTTTTTTTTAAGTACTTTAAAAAGTAGTGAAGTCATACTATAAAACACAGTTAAGCCAGTGTCTTTTCATGTATAGATACTGTAGGTCAATTATTTTACAAATGAGAATAGCAAGTGGAAGGGAGTGACCGTGTCTTTTGTGTTTAGATCTTGAAACACATCAGGAAATGTGTCTGTTCAGCCTCATTGTTTCAGAAGATGCATGATGATGTCAGTGATCCTCTAAATAGGACAGTGGACTGAGACTAGCACTGTTGTTAAATGCTCATATTGTCCTGTTAAAAAAAAACAAGCAGCACCGTTTTAGAGCAGCGGTGGAAAACAGAGATACATACTGTTGTTTTTATTAATGCACTCAGTTTGTGAAGCATTCAGAAACAAACTGTGCCGATGTCCTGTTATTAAGAAAGAGTAATATTTAGTAAATTTGTATTTGTAGTATATGCTGTGGAAAATGCTTACCTCAAACAACTGAACAGTTAGTGTCTCAGAACAAGCTTTGCTTAGACAGCATAGATTGAACTGTCAACATCTGATGAATCATTAAGCTGGAGTAAGAGTTGAGTCATTGCTTGGGTTTTACAAAAACATCACATCGCTGTATTTTTACATATTAATTGCAAGTTCGTATTTTTTTTTAATAACCTCAGTTTCTTTTGAGCAATCTTGACAGTGATATAGTCTGTGCTGCATGAATTTAGAGGTTCGAACAGAAAAATAGCTGTTGTGTTTTTAGTTTTATTATAAGAATGTTCTACAGTGCCTGCGTTTAGACATATTGACAAAGATCATGACAGTACTGACAGCTTCCATGCAAGAGAATAATAATACAATAATATTTTGGACCAAGTATACAGCAATATTAAGTATGCCTGCAAGGTGGTACCCTGACCTCGCTTTGGTCATTCTGAACGTTTATCAGTCCTTCTGTATCCAGCAAATAGACAGCGCCTCAAGCAAGACGAGCTAAACTGTGAAAGTGTGTAATGAAGAATCTGAAAGGAGGCTTCAGGAGTGCTTAGCCACTACTGATTGGGTTGTGCTTAGAGCTGCTGCTTTGAGGGAGGACTCTACTGTAGATCTAGAGGAGTATGCTGCAGCTATCGCTGGATATATCAGCACCAGCACTGATGGTATTATTTCCACAAAACACTTTAAAACCTGTCTCAACAATAAACCATGGACTAACTGTGAGGTGCAGTCAATACTAGGTGACTGCTCTGCTGCGTTCACCTCAGGTGATGCGGAGGAACACAAAAGGACTATATATGACCTCCACAGATCCATCACAAGCACTAAGAGGCAGTACAGCCAGAAACTGGAGGAGTACTATCACATCACAGACTCCTGACACATCATAGATCAATGTTAAAGAACTTTCAAGCCCTCATATGACCAGGCTGTACTACCAGACAAGCTGAAAGAATTTCATGCTCACTTCGAGGCTCTCGACACCAACCAGCAGAGAAACGTTCTGCTTACAGAGGACACACAGCACCAGCTGATTACTGTGTCAACAACTGCAGTATACTGCATTAGCTGGTGCAGACAACAGCCAGGGGCCAGCACCCAGGACCTGTTCAGATCAGCTGGTGGAGTTGCTTACTAACTTCTGCAACCTGTTTCTCAGTCAATCCTCTGTGCCCATCTGCTTAAAGGACATCATCATCATCCATCTCCCCAAGAAGAGCCCAGTGCCCTGCCTGAACTACTACCATGCTATAGAATTAATTCCTGTGTAATTCATAATAATAATAATAATGTCATCACAATGTCAGCACTGTATGTTTCCATACAATGGCGAAATTAGTCTCTGCATTTAACCCATCCACCACCAGGTGGTGCAGTGGGCAGCTATTGAAAGCGCCCGGGGGGGCCTTTTGGGGGTGAGGCGTGCTGCCCAGAGACGTCACGTGATGTGCAGTGACTGGAGATCGAACCTGGGACTTTCGGGTCCCAAGCCGGCTGCCCTGCCTCTACACCATCTCGGCCCCCATCATGAAGTGCTTTGAGAGGATAACCATGTCCCACATAAAGAGGTCTGTTCCAGCCATCCTAGAACCCCCCCCCCCCCCCCCCCCCCACAGTTTGCTTATCAATAGAATTGGTCTACTGATGATGCTGCCATTCACACAACCCTGAAGGGGATGGACGGGTATGTGAGGATCCTGTTTATGGACTACAGCTCAGCATTTAATACATTTCCACCTCACAGGCTCTACAAGAAGCTCTTCACCTTGGGTCTGGCACCATCCATCTGCAACTGGATGCTAGACTTTTAAACAAACAGGTCCCAGTGTGTTAGAATAGGACAGTGAACATCAACAATCAAGAGACTCAACATAGGAACCCCACAGGGCGGTGTGCTGAGCCCACTGGCGTACTCTATTTACCTATGACTGTGTGGTCTCCCAGAAAGACATCAGCATCTTTAAGTTATTTGATGTGACCACAGAATATTGGAATGATTACAGGTGGGGAGGAGAAGCCATACATACAACACGTGGCAAAGCTATTATCTTGGTGTCAAGGAGACAATCTCCCATTAAACATTACAAAAACCAAGGAGATAATTATTGACCCCATGAGGAGATGGAAGGAGCAATATGTCCCTGGAACACAGGTGGAAAATGTGAAAATATTCAAGTTCCTTGATACTCACATGAGATCTCATCTAGTCTTACAATTGCAAGCAGCTCCTGAAGGAGGTACAGCAGAGACTGTAGGAAGCTGAGGAAATTTGGGAGGTTAATCAAGGTCCTCAGCAACCTCTACAGAAATAAAGTCGAGAGCATCATCACCAGCACCATCACGGTATGGTGTGGCAGCTGCACCATTCAAGACAGGGAGGCTCTACAGCAAGTGATAAAAATTGCTCAGTTCTTTGCTGGAGTACTTTTCCCATTGCTGAGCAACATTTACATCAGCAACGTGATCAAGAAGGAAAATAACATCATCAAGGACGGCCACCACACCCTCCAATCCAGCCATTAGTAAAATAAAAAAATATGTATTGTATTTTACATCTCTAGATAATTTTAAACTATTTTCTTTAATGAATCACTCTTGCATGAAAAAAAAATATGGCTGCCTATAGACAGACTTTCACAACCTCATGTTTCATGTTGTGTGTTGGTCAGTGCTCTGAGGTGTGTGGAGGGGGCGAGCAGCAGCGCATTGTGACCTGTCCAGAGGACAATCGATGCGACGAAGCCCTTCAACCTAGCAGCATTCAGCCATGCAACATCCAGCCGTGTGCTCAGTGGCTGACTGGATCTTGGGGACAGGTACAAGACACACAACAATCAACCACATTTGAGTGTATTTTAAAACCAATTCCATAAAGAAATCACCATCTCAAAAGTGATCTGGTTTTTATTCCTAAAAGGACAAAAAAAAAAAATCTCAATTACATTTTGAATAACTTTCATACAAATCAATGAATTCATATTATCCATCCTACTTTTCATACTTTATTACTTGTAGCCCTGCTGGGAATATGTCATACAGCATTTTAAATAGTAGTGTTCCCTTTGAGGAGTCTTCATAATTCAGCAGAAGTTTTAACATTAAAAAATAATCTTATTAGATCCTATAATTAAGTTCAGTATCCCCTTTAACCAATAGTAGCTCAATGCAGTCTTCATAAAGATGTATAAATGTGTAATATATTTGTAGGTAGAAGACAAGTTTCTTCTGCGTTTTGTTTACTGTAAGTGTGCTTGAACCATGTGATCATCAAACAGATCATTTTCTGTGGACAATAATGTTCTAAGTTGTAATCTGTTTAAAATGACAGATGAAAAGATGTAAACCTCAAACCTCTAAGGAATAAAGATCTGAGGATTCTTTTAAGCATGCCAAACCAGAATCTGCAGATGATGGACTCTGCTGTTATAAGGAGATACGCCATTCAAAAACCTAGATTTTTAAAGACATAACCATAAAAATAATATTTAAAATCAATTGATAATAACCTCTTCATACATTTTCATATGTGTACATCAACAACATTAAACTATGCACATTTGCATTTCCTGTGAAAATGCAGTGGGAATGCTTATTGTTGAATGATTTTGTTTTGAAAAATGCTGAAGAAGCTGAAACCAAGCTGTCAATTTTCAATCTCTAATTTAATCTGAACGGTTGAAAATGTAGCCAAAAATAGCAAAAAAGAAGGAAAATGCTAACTTAGAGCCAGAAGTAGCATAAACATAGCAAATAACTACCAAAAAAGCACTTTGATCCAAAAGTAGCAAAAGATTAGCAAAAAGGACAACACTAGCTTAAAGCCAGTAGTAGTGAAATGCTAGGAAAAAAACAATTTAACATGATTTATGACCTTGACATTTGACCTCTTGACCTTGAAATCAATAGAAATAAAAATGTTGACCAAAAAGGTTCCCAGCTGACAAATTGGACATTTGTGTTAAATGGTAAAGAAATTATAGTGACATTAAGAAAGGGGTGAACTTTGACCCAGACCTTTGACCCCATAAAATTGATAATCATCATTGCTGATCTATGAGGTGCCCTGCTATGAAGTTTGATATTCCTGCATTACACAGTTGCAGAGTAGAGCTTGGACAAAAAAAAAAAAAAAAAAAATTGTCCACAAACTGTTAGACATATTTGGCGGCCATATTGAATTTTTATTTAGTCTTCAGTATGTGTTGAGGATCACTTTCAGCTACTACCACACCAATTTTTAGTCTAAGTTATTTAAAAATAAATGTGGTGCAGCTGAAAGAACTACAAAAGATCACAAAACTGACATTAGTGAAAAATCAGATGGGGGGAAAAAAAAGCTGAAATTAGCTGTCAGAAGAATACAGGAGTCATAGAACAGCTAAAACGAAACTGAACAAAATGCTGAAATTAGCAGACTGAGACCTAAAGAGCACATGTTTGTGGAACTGAACACAGAAAAATGTCAACATTATCACATTCAATGTTATTTTAGCAGAAAAATCTCAAACTAGCAGAGAAAGAAATCTGAACCGTAGCTGAAAGGCTAAAAAGGATCTGGAAATGAAAAACAGGAACGTTTGTGCCTTAGATCCTTTACTTGTTATTTGTATGGGTTATCGACTATGGAGATGATCTTCTGCTTCTTCTGGCTTTTCCCTCTTCAGCGGTCTCCACAGCGAGTTCTCCTCCTCCATCTCACTCTGTCCTCACTCCAACTACCTCCATGTCCTCTTTGTCTTTTTCCTGGCAGCTGCATTTCTAACATCCTTCTACCAGTATACCCACTGTCCCTCTTCTGGACATGTCCAAACCATCTCAGTCTGGTCTCTTTAACTTTATTTCCTAGTTGTTCAACCTGTGCTGTACCTCTGATGATCTCATTCCTAATCTTATCCATCCTTGTCACTCCTAAGAAGAACCTCAACATCTTCATTTCTGCCACTTCCAGTTCTTTCTCCTGTCTTTTTGTCCATGTCTCTGTCTCCAGACCATACAACATAGCTGGTCTCACCACTGTCTTGTAAAGTTTTCCTTTGACCTTTGCTGACACTCTTTTGTTGCAAATAACTCCTGAACTTTCCTCCATCCTCTCCATCCTGCCTGGACTGTCTTTTTCTCCTTTTTACCACAATCTGCATTTTCCTGGATACTGGACCACAAGTGCACCTTCACCTTTGTGACCTCTGCTCCTTGTAGTCTCATTGTTCCATGTGCCTCCCTCTCAGATCCTTCCCACATTTCTCTTTCTCCTCTACATCACATCCAGCCTGTGGAGCATAACCACTGACAACATTTAGCATCAGACCTTCTACTTCTACTTTCAGGCACATCACCATATCTGACACTCTTTTCACCTCCATTACATTCTTTGTCAACTCCTCCTTCAGGACCACCCCTACCCCATTCCTCTTTCTATCCACACCATGGTAAAACAGTTTGAATCTTGCTCCAATGCTGCTTCCACTTGGTCTCTTGGACACATAAAACATCTACCTTCCTTCTCTGCATCATGTCAGCCAGCTCTACCTTTGCCTGTCATTGTCCCCACATTTAGAGTTTCCACCCTCAGTCCTACATTCTTTACTTTCCTCTTCTCCCTCTGTCTCCTGACATGTTTCCCTCCTCGTGGTCTTCGACTAACAGTAGCACAATTTCTGCCAGTACCCTGTTTGTCATCAGCACCGGTGGCGGTCGTTGTTAACCCGGGCCTCGACCAATCTGGTATAGTGTCACTTAGATGAACTCATGTTATAGTTTTGGCAACAGTGTTTTATGTCAGGTGCCCTTGCTGACACAGTCCTCACCATTCAATGGGATTTACCTGTATAAATAAAGGTTGATTGATTTACTCAGGCTTTGGACCGGCACAAGCGACACATTGGTTTGTGCTTTCTAGTGGTTGGTTTCAATTAAACAACTATGGAGATGATGAAACCTAAAAATATGATGTTACTGTTAATGAAAGTCTAACAGAAATTATCTTGATTGATGATTTCTGTCAATTGAGCTGACTTAACTCAACAGTATAAAAGACCAAAATAGGGATAAAGTAAAAAAATAAAAATAAAAACAGATATTGATTAAAAAAAACTCTAAAATAAACAACTCAATGACATTGTTAATTTCTGTGTGTGTAGTGTTCAGCCTCTTGTGGGGGTGGCATGCAGCAGCGCCTCATCAAATGTGTCGACACAAAGGTCGAGACTGAAGAAGAGGTGGAACAGATTCAGTGTGACCATGAACTGAAGCCTAAAAGCACCCAGAAGTGTCATTTACAAGACTGCGAGAGCACCTCCCCAGGTCAGTAAATCAAGATGTAAACAAGTGGGTGAAAAACAGCATCTACTTCGCTTCCATTGTAAACAGAAAAAAACAGCTTTGGACTGCTGTGAGTCTAGGTTTTGTTGGGAGTTTTGGCATTTATTTTAGCATTCTTGTGTGATAGGAAACATCTTAGATGATTAAAATACTGAGAAATATTGCATTTATTTAAAATAAGCATGAGTTCCTGAATATATTTTAATACCAACCATAAACCAATGCATACAGGACTGCTGTGGGTGTCTGGAAAAATAAATGTTTTTGATCATTAAAGAAAGCGTTCAGATTTTTAAAGTAAGGTTCGGTGGAGTTGTTGTCAGCAGTCAGTATCTTACCTGCAGTAGATATCGCTCAGCATTATAAGTTTGAAAAAACTGGCAGAGGAATTAGTGGCACTAAAAACTATTTTAATTGAGTTTTGCTCCAGTTGTAATGTTCTGTCATTTTTCTGTTTGTTTGTATCTTCTGTGTCGAACATTGCTTGAGTTTCATTGTTGTCAGCTCCTCAGTGTTTTCCACTGTTTTGATTTCTACCCTTCTGTTTCTGCTCCGTACCTGCCCACACACACAAGTGTTTGTTTCCCTGCCAGGAGTTTATGATTTTGGTCATTGATCTTGTCTTTATATTCTCCATCAATGTAAGTTTCTCAGTTCAGCATTATGTATGTTTATGTGTTATATTGCTCCTCCTTGTGCCCTTGAATTCTCCTTGAGTATTCTTGAGTTTTTTGTAAGTGATTGCTGCCATGTCAGCCTTTTGTTTTGTTAGGTTAATAAATAAGTTTGTTTTCTTGAGATCCCAGTGTCCAGTCTGCAGTCTGGTCTAAACTCTGCTGATCAATTTAGATTAATGTTGTCTTTAAATGATTCCATTCTCAAAACTTTCATAGCTGTTTATGCTAGCGATATTTCATAAACCTTTCGCTTTCTATGAAGTCGGTCGCTCTTACCCTCTCTCCCTTCCTCCTGCTTTTTTGCCCTCTTGTCCTGTCAACCTCAGAACCTCTTTTTTACACATCTTGCAAATCAAAAACTATTACGGATTTGGTCAGCTCAACACAATTGATAAAAAATTTTCCACCAGACGAGAGGGTGCTGGAGAGCCCTTATACCCTGAACGGACCCACGCAGCTGGGTATGTCATTGATTCCTGGGGGGAGTGGAAGATGATGTGCCTAACTGTACTGTCTGTGGAGGAGGTAGAAAATGTGTACATAATTGGATTTATGATAACGGGGTTTCTGCTTTTTGGAATCGGCAGATACCCTGGAGATCGACAAATTAGGAAGACACCGGCAGCAGTTTCAGCCATGGTAAAACTGCCAGCCTCATGTAAAGGATTAATTTGTGCATCGAGCTCTCAGACTCATATGCTTAACAAGCTCAACTGCAAGCTGGACGTGATTTCTGAGAATCGAAGGCCATTTGTAGCTCCTGGAACTCGCCAGTATGAAGGTTTCAATCTTGGAGAAAGCTAACTGAGTGCGGACCGGGCGGAATGTCCATAATTCTGACTGTTTGGATTCGCCATTGCGTGTACCAGCAGAACTTGAAGGCAGACAGAAATCAGAGTGTGGCAGCCTTAAAGCCATAAAGCTTATGGTTATTTACATTTAGATTAAGACCAAGTCCGTCAACGATTTATTGCTTGTAATGGTTCAGGTAATGCTTATGTTTGCAGCAAAACACAATGTTTATAGCATGACTGGGCAAGAATAATGTAGTGTAAAAATCCCAAGTTTTCTAGAGATTTAAACAGACAATATATTTGCACCGCCTTGCTTTTACTTAAACTGTTTACTCTGGCTGTTTACATCTAACTTGTTTTGTTTTGCACAGTAAAGTGCATCTAAAATAATTGAATATTGTCAAAAATTAAAGTTTTTATATCAATCATTTTAGAAAGTGAAACTCATGTATCACATAGATTCATTACACAGAATGAAATATTTCAAGCCTTTATTTCTTGTAATTTTGATGTTTATGGCTTACAGATAATGAAAACCCATAAATTCAGAGTCTCAGAAAATTATAATATTCCACAGCCAGCTTTTAGTTCGTTTGTCAGTGTGTCAGGAGCCAAGTTCTGCTGGAAAATGAAATCAGCATCTCCATAATGCTCGTCAGCAGCAGGAAGCATAACTTTTTCTAAAATGTCCTGGTAGATGTTGCATGGATGTGGACTTAAGAAAACCCAGTGGACCAACACCAGCACAGGACATAGACCCAAACATCACTCTGGACTTCAAGCAATGTGGATTCTGGACCTCTCCACTCTTCCTCCAGACTCTGGGACCTAGATTTACAAATGACATGAACATTTCCTTTCATCTGAAAAAAGGACATTAGACCACTGAGCAACAGTCCAGTTTATTTTCTCCTCAGCAGGTAAGACACTTCTGATGTTGTCTCTGGTTCAGGAGTGGCTGGACTTGAGGAATGAGACATTTTTGTAGCTCATGTCAATGAGTTAATCAGCTGATCAGGGTGTGACACCAGAAGTTTAAAATATTGAACCATTTCACAATATTCAAATTTTCTGAGTTTTAGTTTTTTTAGTTTTTCTTTATCTATAATCATCAAAATTGCAAGAAATAAAGACTTGGAATGTTTCACTTGATGTGTAATTAATGTAATTATGTTCTGTGGAAGTTTGAGCCCATGGGCAGACAGACACAGAGAACTTTTATTAAATAAATACAAAAACAAAGGCAGCAAAACGTACAGAAAATAATTTTCACTGGCAGACAGAGGAACAAAGCATGACGGCTGCAAAAAGCACAATCCACGGACAAGGGAGTGACAAAATGAGGTTTTAAAGAGACACTAATGACGGACAATGACAAACACCTGGGGCAAGACAATGAGGTGAGAGTTAGAGGAGCAGGAGCTGACTACATGAGGAGAAAAACACAAATAAAAACAGACTCAGAGAAAACTAACTAGAATCACAAAAAGACAAAAACACCACAGAACACAAAGATCCTGACAATAAAATACGAGTGTCACTTTCTGAAATGATTGACAAAAAAAATAAACTTTTTTAAGATGTTCTAATTTTCTGAGATGCACCTGTAACAACTTGCTCTTTACTGTACATAATAATACAACTAAACAACTGCCCAATAATAAGGTGGTGCTAGTGTAAATATTTAATAACAAATAAAATAAAAATTTCATGACCCACATTGACTTTTTTTGAGTCTGGAGTTGTTTGAAGATGGCAGAAATTTGCTTTTACCTGTTCCCACTCCATCTAGCTGTTAGCTCATCTCCTTTAACCTGATGTTTTAAAATGATGAGGCTCTGAGCAATATCCACTGCAGGTAAAATACTAATTAACAACACCTTCATACAACCCAACTGTAAAAAACTTAAACCATCTCTTTAATTCTGATTAAACAACGAACATCTGTGAAACCCAGTTCTCATTTCCTGCCATGTTCAAAGTCTAACAGTTGCATCAAATTACTGTCAGATAATCAAACCTTAGCTTCTTTATTTTGCATAATATTAATGATTTACAGAAGTGAATAAGTGCAACATCAAATTATAATCATCCTAGTCTTGTTTTCTTGTTGGACCTCCTGCTTGTGGATGTGTTGGACTCAAGAAGGTGTAATTGCAGAGCACAGGACGAGCTCTTTCCATAGACTTTGTCCTATGTTGTTTTGTAATTTCAGTATGTTTTCACCAAACCAAAGGAATATGCTTCTAAAGCCTCTGAACAAACCCTTCAAATCATTGTATTTTAATTAAATTTTAATTAATTAATACCTTTTTAATTAATTGATTTTATTTTAACAATTTGTTTTAAATTTAAACAATGTCTGCAGAAACAATGATTGACCCTTGTATGAAATTATTGGTGCACAACATCTAAAAATGTAATTTCCTTAAGTGAAGCTATCTGACCAAAGCAATAAGATGAAGGGATTTTTATTTTTTTATTTTTTTATTTTTTTATGACACAGGATGCATTCAGAGTAATGCTGATTTTACAGTAGCTGTTGACTCACCTCAACGTGGTGCTGAAAATGTCAAACGGAAGCGGTTCTACTCAGCATCTGTCAAGGTTGTTGTATTTATAGATTTAAATCACAACACAACACGAAATGGAGGAAAAAAACGAGGTTTTTCATCAGTGGTTTTTACTCTAGAAGATGAGACTTTGACTGATTGTGTATGAAGAACAAATATAAATTCATACTTGAAAACCACTCGAATTGAAAGGACCTCACAGCACATTAAAGTGGAATCAGGCCATTAGGAGTGTTGAGAACAAATAATGAGAGCAGGAGTTTGAGTGTAGGATGCTGCATGAACTTTGCTGCTTTCACCCTTCAAACAGCATTATTGATACCACTTGGGATTTACCAGCTCGTGCTTATAAATGCCCCATCACACGACTAGTGGAAAGAACTGCAACGTTATCCTCAATGAGCTCCTTTGTTGCCAACATGAGTTCAAACTTCTGCTACTGAACTGAAAAAAGACCAAGTCCCAAACAAAGCAACTGTTCAGATCATGGACTTTGTGTGTGTGTGTGTGTGTGGGGGGGGGGGGGGGGGGGTTGCATGAAACACACACAGATTCATAACCCATCCTTAGAATTTGATTGAGTTATATGCTGCCAGATTGCAACCCAAACCTTTTTACTTAAGGAATATTAAAGTACATCTCTGGCATTCATGTGAATGTTTCTTTGCCCTAGAAAACTCAAACACAATTTAACCCTGAAATAGCTAATAAAGCAATGTACCGACTTCTGTTGTGGTGTGCCTCTGCATATTTTGGTGAAAGCTTTGTGAAGCTAGACAAACTTGAACGTGAAATTTCTGGTCCCAAGTCGGCCTCCCTACCACTGCATTACAGCCGTCGAAGTGAGTCAACCTGAAGTGATTTCAACTGGTTGACAAATATATAACTAACTTTTTTAACTTGTAACACATGTAGGCACTGATAATAGCAGTGATCAG